AGGAAGAGGAAGAGGAAGAGGAAGAGGAAGAGGAAGAGGAAGAGGAAGAGGAAGAGGAAGAGGAAGAGGAAGAGGAAGAGGAAGAGGAAGAGGAAAAGAAAGTGGAAGAGAGAAGAAGAGCAAGAGAGCAAGGGCGTGAGAGAGAGAGAGAGAGAGAGAGAGCGAGAGAGAGAGAGAGCGAGAGAGAGAGAGAGCGAGAGAGAGAGAGAGAGAGAGAGCGAAAGAAGGTAGGAAAAGAAAACAACGAGAAGGACGAAGCTGACCAGCGAACAAACAAAAGGGCAGGCAGGCTGGCAGGCCGGCCGGGAAGGGCCCGTGGGATGGGCGGTTGATGCCTAAGAAGGCCGCCTTGCGTGCGAACTCACAGAGGGTTCGGTTGTTCAGGTCAGGTTGGTTGGCTCAATTCCCCGTTCTGGCGGTGTGCAAGAGGATCCGGGTGGGAAAAAGGTGAGGCGACAATGCAATTTAAGGGACCTGAAAAAGAAAGGAAAAGGAAAAGAAATTCCTATCACCGTGAACAAAGATGGGAAGATGAAAAAGAAAAAATGGAAAGAAAAGAAACGAGATGATCAGCAGGAGCAATTTGGAACCAGGATCATGGGGAAGGAGGAAGGAGGAAGTTACTACTCCGTACTATAAGTGCCTTTCAGTCACGGAGGACAGACTGACAGACTGACAGACTGACAGGCAGGCAAGGCTGGCTGGTAGCACTCAACAGCTGCATCATTTCCAGCCGCAAGCCGGCAGGTAGGCAGCATCCAGGATGACTGACTGATTGACTGATTGACTCAGATGGTGGTGTGAACCACACTGGGACTGCTCCTGCACTGCACCGTGCCATCCTGCAGTCCGTGCAGCGCTTGGAGCTGCAGTGCCAGAAGAAACCCCAATGATCTCCATGAGCTACTGGATCTGAGGTGAGCGGAGCTGAAGAGCCCCAGGCCGTCTGTGCCACTGAACTAGATAGTAAGATTGGAGGAAGTTGTGAAGAAAGCTAGTCAGCAGGATTCATGCTGCATAAAGGTGGACGGAGAGCCCTAATTGACTGCAGTGGTAAGTAGCTCGACAAGAGCTTTTCTGGCGCCATGCCAGGAAACTGCCTACCATACAGACATATAATTTGATATAGTAACTACTCCGGTTACTTGTAGCTATTCAGCGTTCTTCATTTTGACAATTTTGTCGGTAGCTACAGCGACTAAATACTGTTTGTATAGAGTAATCGGCACATGGGTTTAAAGGTTTGAACCTCACATTCATGTCCCTCGACCTTGACTCAGATCCATCACTATGACCACGGTTATCAGCGACGCACATATCGATCCCCAGCGGCGAGTTCCAAGATTCATGCAGAGTGGACCCATGAATTTTGGTTTCGAGACCAGCTCAACCCACGCTCCAACATACAAGCAATGTGGTACTCCATCTTCACTACAGCAACACCCTTGTCAAGTCAAATATCTCCTACCCAGATCGAATGAATCCATGAATTGTGGGTTTAAACCATCTCAAACCACGGTCCAACATACAAGCAATGTAGATACTCCATCCTCACTATGGCGACTGACCTTGAGTCAAATGCCTCCTAGCACATGTAACCCTTACATAGCTTTCCTTGGGATCAAATGACCATCAACGATGCCAGAAAACATTCATCCTCCGCAACGCATGTCATGATCCCACAACAAGTAAACTATGAATATAATCCCAACCCAAGCCCCAGCACACAAGCCATGTAAACACCCCATCTCCCTGAAGCAACTGCCCCTTAAGCCGAGTCCCTCTACCCAGCCCACGTAACACTCAAATCCCCTCCCTCAGGACCCGAGTGACCGACCATCACCTGCACAAACCAGATATCGTCCCCAGCGATGAGGGTCGTGACTAAGAAGAGAGAAGCCAGTGAAAGATGACATCGTGATGAGCCATGTGAATGAGAGAAGCCCCCACCCACACCCACACCCACACCCACCCAGCCTAAGGACCCCCCAGAGTGAATTCTCAGTTGAACCGTGACAGAAAGCCCTTATTGCCTGCTCGCCGAGTTCAAACCCTGAATTCATTCCCACACACTCCCACAACCACACCCTCACCTCCCACACAACCACTCTCTTTTCATCCCATCAACATCTCTTCGCCTAAGAACCCAACCACCACACCAAGGCAATCAGCGAGTTCGCCACGCAAACAAGACACAGACACCACGATGAAGACCGAGACAGAGTCACCTCCCCCGGACCAGGAGGGTTCGTCCCCCTCGTCTGGGTTTACGCCCATCAACCGGAGAAGCGTGGACAAGAGTGAGGCGAGTGTTGGCGTAAGTGTTCTGCAACGTTCATTACCACCATGACCATGGCCGTGACATGACTATGGCCGTGACATGACCATGACCATGAGACCCGAGCCCTCGTCACGATGACAACCAACCAAGCACCTCAGCACAAATCCCCCAGACACGAGAAACCAGAAACGACGAGAAACCTCACTAACCAAAAACCCAGACCACCCGCAAGCGCAGCATTCAATCCCGCTCTCCATCCCCCAGCCCAGGAGCGCCAGCGCCAGCGCCAGCGCCCAAGAAAGCCAAAACCGAGCCCTCGGCATCCCCCTCCTCCCTCTCCTCCTCATCCCCACCCACCGACTCCAGCGAAGAATACAAGCAGGAAGAAGAGGACGAGGGCGAGGACGAGGACGAGAACCTCACAAGCACAAGCTCCAAAACCTCAAAGTCCAAGCCCAAGCCCACGCCCACGCCCAAATCCAAATCCAACCCCAAGGCTAAGTCCAAATCCACCCCCAAGAAGCAGCAGCCATCCAACACCACCACCCCCAAAAAACAAACCCCCACCAAAACCCCAGCAGCAGCAGCAGCAGCAAGAGAGGAACCAACAACACCCACACCCAGCAAATCCCCCAAAACCAAACTCCCCCCGATCCCCACCAGCCTCGCAACCGCCACCCCAGCCGACCGCCTCATCCTCACCATGCGCGACGACGGGCAAAGCACCTGGCGCGACATCAACACCGCCTGGAAGAACATCACCCACCTGACCGTGGGCGCGTCGACGCTGCGCATGCGCTACAACGCCATGAAGGCGAATTTCTCCAAGATGAGTCCGGAGGATGTATGCCGCCCCTTTGCCCCACACCCACACCCACACTCCCTCAGAAAAAAAACGTTATCGGGGGGTATGCTTATGCTGACTTGCGACGTAAACGTTCAGGAAGAACTATTCCGGCGCACGAAGGAGGCCGTCGAGACCAAGTTCGCGCAGGAGAAGTGGCGGATGATTGCGGAGCAGATGGAGAGTACTAGTGGCCATGGGAGGAAGTTCCCGGCGGCGACGTTGGTGAAGAAGTGGAAGGAGTTGGAGAGGGTGAAGCTGGGGAAGGGGCAGGCTGTTGGTGCTGGTGCTGCGCACGTGGCGGTGGGTAAGGAGGCAATTTCTTCTTCTTCGTCATTGTTGTCGTCGTCTCTGTCTTCCGGGGGTGCTGGGGATGGGGATGATGAGGATGAATTTGAGGAAGAGGATGGTGCTGAGGATGAAGAAGAGGTGGTGTAAGTGATGCTTCTACTTTTAGTTCAGGTTCAGAGGATGGACTTCTCCCGTCTCATCCGAAGTTGCGAGGGAGGTGTTCGTATCTAACTTCAAAGTTAAGGGGGGAAAGTTCTACTTGTGTCTTTCTTCGGCGTTTTCTGCTTATCGCGTGGTTGATATGGAATTTGAAGGGGAGGTGAGATCTCTGGAAACATGACGAAAACGATTTCTTTCCCGCCTTGACTACTTTTCTGCCTGCATGGTTTGCTTTCCTTCTACTAGCACAAGCATACGAAATCAGTGCTCACTTGCCTACTTGTCTCTCTTCTTCCTCTAATCACATAAAATCCATCATTCATTCAAAGAAACTAAGGCTCCAAACCAAAAACTGAATAAGACCCACCTATCCCAAAACACAAACACCCGCCATGCCGAATCCCATCATCAAAGCAATAACCACGGAAGAGCAGTGAAGAAAAGTATGGGAAAATCATGTTGTACCAGACAAGCTCAACCAGACAAAACTCAGAAACTCATCATCTCCAAACGCCCTTCATGCAGTCGCCCATCATGCAGTCGCCCATCATGCAGTCGCCCATCATGCAGTCGCCCATCATGCAGTCGTCCATCCAAATCGCCATGACCCATCCCATGCCCGCCCAGATCTTTCATGTACTCGTCACTGTCGGCGCGGGCCACAATCGCCGGCCGGATCTTCGTGCCCACGAACCCCCGCCGGTCGCGGCCGGTGCGCCCCCGGCCCAGCCAGTTGTGCTTCAGATCCTTGCCGAGCGTCTCGACCTGCTCCTGGGCCTTGTCGCCGGTCTGCACGCTGGCCAGGACGCTGACGCACTGCAGCATGCGGCCGACGGTCTCGGTGATGATATGCGAGGTGTCGGCTGCCGCGTTGGCCCGGTGGATGATGCTCGGGCGCTGGGGCGGCGAGGAGAGAGACTGGAAGATCAGCTGGTCGGGGTTGGAGGAGGTGTTGGAGGCGGCGCGGCTGCGACTGCTGCTGCTGTTGTTGATGTTGCTATTGTGGCCGAGCAACGAGTCGGAGGAGTAGCTCCCCGACTGGGCGTTGAGGAGCGTCGAGGACTGGGAGCTGTAGCTGCCAAAGCCGGCGCCGGCACCGCCGCCGTCAAGCGAGGCAGCGGTGGGAGGCCGTCCGCCACTGGTGGAACTGCTCTTGGTGGTGACGCTGAGCGCCGCCGTGCCGAGCTTGATGCTGTCGAGACTCAGGCGTGAAAATGTCGACTTCAGATTTTCGTAGCGACGCAGGATGATTCGGTCGCGGAAGGCGACAAGAACCAGATTGCGCACATCCAGCTCACAGCCAGGGTACTCGGCATTGCGTGCGGACCCCCAGAATTCACTGGCTTCACGCCGGTTCATCACAGACCCACAGCCCTTGATTTCCAGGTCGAGAGGCAAGAACACGGCCTGAATGAAAGGCAAGATTGTGCCGAACACGAGCATCCATACCTGCACGAGGTGCGGCACCAGCTTCTCATCCGGCACCCCGTTCAAGGTATGGTTCAGCGAAGCGAATCCGGTCTCCAGCAGTTCCCTCAGGTCGTCGACCACCGCCGCCGGAGTGCGCTTCTGCACACATCGCTGGATATGGACGAGAACCAGCTTGTTGAGATCCTCAATCGCAATGCGCACGTCCTCCCCGTCGAAAATCACCATCAGTTTCGCCTTCAGAAAGTCCCAAGCGTCCTCCGGCGTCATGTTATTCAGCCCGAACCCTTGGAGAGTCTCCCGCAACGCAGCCTCGGCGATCAGCCCGGAGGAACTGCCCAAAGACGACGGCCCGGGGAAGACAGCCGGCGACCCTCCGGGCCCCTGTGAACTAGTTGCCCAATCCATCTGCTCCGATTCCGCCTGCGCCTGCGCCTGCGCCTGAGCTTGCGCTTTTTCCTCTTTCTTCTTCTCACGAAGGCCATGCAGCAGATCTAGCCCACTCACCGACTTGCCGAAGGTCGTGCTGGTGGCTCCCGGCGACGCGGGGGTAAACGAGTATAGGGACTGCGGTGCATTGGGGTCTGACGGCTTCGAATTACTCGACGCGGACGATAGCGGGAGGTTGTAGTGATCGTCGCGATCCTTCAGCTTCAGTTTCTGGCGCGACAGGAAATGGTGTTTGTGTTTCTCCTTGTCCTTGTCCTTCTCTTTCTCGCTCCCCGTCGGCCGATCCGCCGGCACGACGGTGCTCGCGGACGCATTCGACAGGTTGTACATGGACGAATTGTTCGACGGGAAGGTCTCCGCCAAGCTGGTGGTCGAAGCGCTGACGATCCGGGACAAGCCCCCACTGGGAAACCCCATCTTGCTTGGCGAGGGCAGGCCCCTTTCCTTCCCCGTCCCGTCCTTGTCGCGACTGATGCCGATGTGCTTGGGTTTCGAGAAGAGCTTCATCTTCGACTTCTCGCCCTTGTGTTTGTGTTCGCGCTCCTGGGGGATCTCAAGCCCAAGCCCGGGGGGCTGGAGCCCTGGATTTCGGGGGAATACCACGTTGGCCGCTGTCGTGGCAGCATGGGCGTGTCCAGCCGCGGTGCTGGTGCTGCCGCTGCCATTTGCGTAGGATGGCTGCCCAGCTGATGCGCCAGTCGCGCCGGCTGCTGTCGAACCGGGGGGTGCGAAGGTCGGGGGTGGGGGAGGCGGGGGAGGGGGCGAGATGCTGCCGCCGCGTCGGGAACGGGAGCCGTCTTCGGAGACCCCTCGTACGGTCGCGGGTCGTTTCACGGGATGTTGAAGATTGTTAGGTTGTGGGTGTTGTTTTTGAGGATGTTGTTGATGTTGGTGCGACTGTTGTTGCTGTTGCTGTTGCTGCTGCTGCTGCTGCTGCTGTTGTTGAAGCATGGCCGTCTGGGCCGCGATACGAGAAGCTGACAAAGAGGCCTCGGTGGAAGAAGCGGTAGGGAGCGATGGTTCAAAGAAACCCTGGGAGTGGTGACGAGAGCGTCGCTGCAGCTCAGCCGGGACGACCCGTCCCGAAGGCTTTCGACTCAGGATCTCATTATGCGGCATGAAGGAGACGGGAGATCGCGCAGATGAGGTGGTGTTGGTAGTAGTGGTAGTGGTAGTAGAGGCAGTAGAAGCGGAGGTGAGATTGGCGGTGTTGAGCGAGGAGATACGCGGTGGCCGCGGCGAGGCAGAGGCAGAGGCAGAGGCAGAGGCAGAGGCAGTGCCAGTAGTAGGCGCAGGCGGCAGCGGGAAATTGGATTGCTGAGGCGAGATGGTGGTCACATTGGAGGTCATCGACGAGGCATCACTTCCAGAGGAGCCAGGACGGGTGTAGAAAGTGTAGGAGTAGGAATCGTCAAAGGAACGTCGAGGAAGAGGAGGGATGGGAGGGGGAGGACTTTGAGAAGCAGGAGGGGGAGGAATCGGAGACCGCGTCCCTCTCTCTGGAGAAACCGGCGAGCGCAACATTGTGAGTGAGTGAGTGAATGAGTGTACAGTACAGTACTACTACCTGGACTCCATGATCTGACAATAAGAGAAAGTAAGAAGGAATGAAGGTATGGATGGAGTTAATTAATCGATTGCAGAATTGGATTTCTGCCCCAGTCTCGTTTTGCCTGGACTTGGAGAGAAGATCAGCAACCATTGAACCATTGAACCATTGAACCATTGATCGAATTGATAGATTAATACCGGCTGTCGATCTCCTCCTGAAACCTGAAACTTTACCTACTGAACCCTCCCTTCCTTTTCCTTCCCTTCCAGTTCCAGCCCGATTCAATCCCTCCCCCCACTCCCACCTTTCCGTTTTTCCTCAACATTCATTCCCTCAGCTCTCTACTCCGTACTCAGTATCTTTTTCTCCAACACCTCACCCTCCTCCCCTCTCTCAAAACGAAAACTACACCACCACGCAAAGTCCACAACCCAATCCCAATCCCTCAAACCAAAAACCCGAAAAATCCAAACCCCAATCATGTCCTCAACAACCCCCACCCCCACCACCACCACCACCACCACCACCACAACCACGAAGCTCCAAGCAATTTACACAGCCCCCCACCAACAATCCCAAACCTTCACGCAACCCATCGCCGCCCCTCTCCCTGCTACCTCCCCATCTGCCTCAACCGATCCCGCCCACATCCAAACCAAAATAACCTACCTCGCCGAACTCCGCAAACAGGTCCCGGCCCTGCAAAACGAGATCAACATCTTTCTGACGGAGAAGATGGAAGAGGACAAACGGGCCGCCGACGGCCAACTCTCCGAGAAGGAAGCCAAGGAGGAAGCCAATTACGGCGAGGAGGTTGTGGATGAGGAGGAGGATGCTTGAGGGGTGCACGTGCACATAGAAAACGGGACCTATCATCCCACCGACCAGAAACATGTTTGTGAGCGCGCGGGGCTGAAAGGTGCCCAACTACAATTGCGTCGCTGAACTACGCTATCGACAAATTAGGGCTTACGTGGATGTGTGACCGTGAACGGGAATACATGATGATGATGATGAGATTGAACACTGTCAGGGAGGTTTGAGGGAGGCTATGACGTGATATGATTCGAAAAAAAAGGAAAGATGCAAAATATGAAAGAGATCGCTATCCCCCCCGGGTATCATCGTGCAGGAAGCGTCCGCCCCACTCCAAAATGGCAAATATGTGAACAAGGAGATCACGAAGAGAAAAAAAAAAAAAAGGCAAGAAAAGAAAAGACGGAACGCAAATATACGATACCACAAGAAACAAGACCATGACTTCTATTTACAACGACACCGACATCAACATCATGAAAGTGACCGCTTGCGGTTGGCGCAACCAAGATGGACAACGGTATTACTGCGGCACAAGTCAGCACCCAACTTTTTTTTCCAAAAAAAAAAGGGAAAGAAAATGACGTACTCTGGATACACGTTGATCACACTGCCCCCGATCCGCTTGTGGCAGATCCCGCACACCCTCTCTTCGGTAATGGTGACATGTCGGGATCTCGACCGCTTGGGATCCGTCCCCTCCCCCACCAGCAGCTGGGCTTGGGTCTTGATGTTCTCGGCTTTCTGCAGGCTCGCCACGATCCGGCTCTCGTTGAGGATCGAGTTGGCGGCGCGCATGCGACCCTTGAAGTAGAAGTCGAGCTCCTTCACCGGGAGGGTTTCGGGGATCAGGTCCAGCGCGGACCCGGGGGGCAGGCGGGACCCGTGCTTGGCCAGCACTTCGAGCGCTGGCCCATATCGTGGCTTGTATCCGTGGGGCGGGGTTAGATAGAGTGCTAGGAGAGTCAAATAGATCGACGGCTTGTCTTCTTCGTAAGCCAGCAGAGCCACACAAGGCCCGCCTTCTTCGGTAGACGCTATATCGTCCTGTTTGTGGAGATGGTTGCAGTATCTGTGAGAAAGTTAGCCGTGGGGATGATTCACTCTATCTCAGTGATCACCTACTCCTCAGCCTTAGCATAGTCCTCCAGCTTGAACACGTAGATCTCCAGCGCCTGCTTGTGTTGCCCCATCTTGCTGAACACGATTGCTCGCGCTTCGAACAATTCAGGATCTAGGGAAAGGCAAGTCAGCGGATAAAGATGGTGAGAGACAAGAAGCCGACATACCGTCGCGGTCCAGACGGTTTAGAATCTTGGCTGGCGAGTACTGCGTGCTCGACCTGAGCATGGTGAGGAACTTGGTTCGCCACGCGACGTGGTCGTCTTCGCTAGCGAATTCCCACTCCTTGTTTCTGTACTTCTTCAGACGGTCCAGGTAGAAATTGAGCAGCTGCTGATGTAGATCCGGCGACATGTCGTTCAGCTCGCCGATGACATGTTCCAGGTATTGCACGGCCAGATTAACATCGATGCCCCGCAAAAAGTCCAGCACGCGATGCCGGGGCAGAGTCTCTGCGTTCTCCGTGTCCGCCAGGAAGACCTCCATGCCCAATTCGGGGTCCTCCCGCAGTGGCCATTCGGCGAACTCGAGGATGAGGTCGATCCGGTCCGGCGGGAGATTCTGTAGGTAGACGACCGTTCTCTTGGGACCGTGCAGCTGCGGAGCGGTCTCCTCTTCCTCCTCCGCCTGACCGAACCGCTGGAGCAGCTCCAGCGCCTGGCGGTGCAGTTTTTTGCCGTACAGGAAATCGATCAGGTCGTTGTGCCGGCCGGTCTCCTCGAGCCTCTCCATGACCACGTCCGGGTCGCAGAAGTTCGCGATCCGGAAGAGAGACCCCGCCAGAGCAGGGATCGCATACATATACGCTCGGAAGAGGGTGGTGTCGACGAGTTTGGCCTTCTCGCGAATCTTCTCCCCGAACTCGGAATCCTGGATATCCTTGGTGCTGGTCTCGAGCAATTTCATCACAGAATCGGTCAGTTCATCTGTGGCTGCGTCCGCCGGCAGATCGAACACCTTCAGTGACCCATCGGGGTTGAGGAAGCGCTGGAACCGCCGACGGACATCGGCCAGGTACCTCTGCAGCTCACGAACCGCCAACTTGAGATCATTTCCTTCGAGGGCCTTGTCGGGCTTGGCGTCTTCGGTCATCCTCGTCCGGATACTGGCCGCATCGTCGAATGTCTCCGTCTTGGACCGCAGCAGCGACATGACCGACGGGGCGTGCGAGAGCGTCTTGGCCGTGGCCGCAACAGCAGCATCCGCCGTGTGATTGCCATCCACCTGTTTCTGGTTGTCGGGGGTCTTGGACGGGCTCTCGGTGGCGCTGTCTTCGGATTCCTCTTGCTCCTCGGGGACCGACGATAGCTCTCCCGCCACGATCATGGGATAGAGCCTGATCACCGTTTCCGGTGGCGCAGAGATCTCGGTGAATATATCCATCGCGTCCGCATATTTCCGGAGTCGAAACAGCCCTTCCGCTTTCTCGAGCTTGATCGCACGTAGCCGGCCCTGCTTATCCCTCAAGAGCGCATCCTCCAGCATGCTTGTCAGACTCACGGCCTCGTCCAGGTAGCCCTTCTCCACCAGCGAGTCAATCTGAGTATCGTAGCTCAGCGCTTCCATGCGCCAGATCGTGCGCTCGCTCGCCACCAGGAACCCCTTGCCCGCATGGGCCAAGCTGATCGTCGGCTGGGGGATATGCAAGATATTGGCGGACGGCAGTGGAACCGACTGGAGTAGCGACAGCGTCTCCGGATTGCGCACCTCTAGCACCCCCTTGGACGCGTCATGCAGGGCGAGCAGAAACGGATACGAGTACCCGATATCCGCCGGCGCATGGCTCCAGGGGATCTGGCGCCTCCCCAGCGACGCGCCATTGATATCGATGAACTGGGTATTGATATCTTTCGCCAACAGCACCTGGCCCTCGGACAACCTCGTCGCCAGAGGCTTGGGGGCCGACCCACCAATGCCGATATAACTCATACTGGCGACTCCGACCCCCGTCAACCGGCCGGTTTCCTGGCCATTCAAACCGCCGATACTCCCGGGGCCGACCAAGTCCGTCACGCTGGCCGTCTCGATATCAACCATCACAAAGCTGGACCCCAACCCGGCCACCAACCTCGTCCCGGACACCCACGTCAGCGTCTTGATGCCACTGACCAGCGTCATCTCCACCACCTCACCCTCGACCTCCATATCGCGCCACACCCACAGCAAGACCTTGCGCTTCACCGCCACCGCCAGCCGCGACACGATCGACGGCACCCCGGTCTCGGAGTCATTGACGATATTCGACGTCACCGCAAAGGTCGACGCCCCCTTCGTGCGGGTCATCTGCTCCTGCAGCGCATACGTCTGCAGATCATGGATCGAGACATACCCGCCCGACAACGAGACCAGCAACTTGGCCTCCTTGATCAGAGCCAACTGCTCCACCTTGTACCGGGAGAACTTCTCGACCTCGCGCAGAAGATCCGTCTGTTTCAGTTTGACCGGCACATTTGGTGTGGCTGCTGGAGTAGCATTCGCCTTCGCATGATCTGCAGCATTGGCCGCTGGATTCGCATTCTCCGCTCCACCAACACCACCCTCAGCATCACGAGCGGGTACCGTCTTCGCACCAACACCCCCATTAACATTATTCCCAAGCGCACCACCATCCCCATGATTCCCCTGAGTACCATCCTGATGCCCATTCATCCCCTCATCACCATCCGCAGCCTCCTTCTCCACCTCATTCACCCGATACACCCGTAAACTCCCATTGTTCAATCCCACGAGCACCCGGTCCCCGTACGCGAGAACGGACTCGATGCGCGATCGATCGCGCGGTTTGAACTCGACGAGCGGTCGAGCGGTGAAGGCGGATAACATGGTTTGGGCCCTAGGTTCCTTCGGACCCCCTTTGCGAGGAAAAAAACCGTCCGAGGGGTCGTCGGGTTTCGGGTTCGGGGTGTTGGTGAAGGGATGGAGGGGGAGTTCGGGCGCTAGAAACCACAAAAGGGAAAGAGAAGTCGGCTGTTGGCGGGTCGCGTTGTTGAGTTGTCGCCCGAGGGTTAGGGGGTTTGCGGTGTGAACGTCGAGGCGAGTCGAGTCGGGGGTTGACGGTGGTTTCTCGAGGTAAGGTACTAGTATGTGTAGCGTGGAATGAGGGCTCGGGTTTGCGTAGCACCTGTCCCTATTTTATTTTTTCTCTATCTTGCTTTCGAGCCGGAAGGAGGGGGAGGCATGTCCGGTGCTTCTCGGTGGAGTTTCGAGGGCTGAAAGAGGGAGGAGGGGAGTGGTGAATCAGCGGGCCGAGGTGATCACAGCCATGATATGTTGAGGTGGTTGGTAGTCGAAGGGTTGCTGGGTGTGTAGTAGGAGATAAGATAGGGAGTCGCTTGTTGCTGGTGACAGCTCTCAATGAGCCGTGTTACTGTAAAAAATGGTATGTAAATTGTGTTGTGCAGGGAGTAAATGATTAGACAAGAGAGAGGTTCGGTTGTATAAGTGAAGCTGCCCGGCCGCATGGAATCCGGACCTGCCAAGTCCACTACGGCGAGCTACAGCTGCCATTGGATGAAAGCACCCAAAGTCATCCACGATGTCTTGAACTTGACGCAGGTCGTTTATACATATCTTGATGCAATTGGAGCTGTGTTGAACCAGACATTGCTGAACTTCAGACACATACCATGTATTGTATAAGAAGTTTTCCATAATCAATTGAAAGAGTTGACAGAAATGGGTGTCGATGTCGGGTCTCAGGTATCTATCTAACTTATCGCTTCCGTCATCGACGGCCTGAGGCTTTATCTACCGCTCACCGCTGGCCATCCTCACCTCCGGCCGGGCTTGAGCTTGTCCGCCATTGGCGCATGCTGCTCAGAAACCCACCACTAAGTAGACCCACCAGGCCACGACAGAAAGAAAGAGCCAAAAAGGGCAGAAAAAAGACGTTGGGACGAGCCGGGCTTGAACCGGCCACCTTCAGATTAATGGCCGAAGTTGGTACTTCAGTCTGACGCGCTCCCAGATGCGCCATCGTCCCAGAATTGATGAATTGGGCGCATTTCTTTTGGCTCTGATAGAGCATTGAAGAATTTACTCTTAGAGCTGCGCCATTGCCCCGTTGATTGGAATGTCACTTATGATGAGAAGACACGTGTCAGAGCTTTGAAAAGATTGATCTTATTGCTTCTGCGTTTGGCATTGATCACAGCCAAGCTACCTAGTAGCCCCACGCCATAACCTTGGGGTTTCGCCACTGACAGGTGAATGTTGTTGGCAATAAAAAGTCCACAAGGGTTGCAACCAATGTGAAGAAGAGGTGCAGACCCAACCCTACCTCAGATAACTAAACCAGCGCCCCAAATCTTTCTGAAAACAGATGGAAAAGTCACAAGAGAGGAATGAAAGAGCAATTATGTAAACTGTACAATAAGAATGTTTGGTAAAGACTGGCAGGAATCGATCAACCCAGGTTATGCCCAACCAGCATGCATGTTTTCAATAAGCGCCCCGATATGTGCAGATGAAGAGTAAACTAAGTCTCGTTAATTCTATTTTGTGCCTTGTAAAATATGCTCACGCCTTGGTTTCCGTGGAGTATTCCTGGTGCTTGGCCGACGTGCCCTTAGCACGCCAGGTCGACACGGCGGGAATATCAGCCTTGAACCGTTGTTCCTCCGTACCATAGGCACGCGGGGTAAGTTTGATAAGTGTGTGGAGGGGGACCTCCATCCAGGGACTCTGCTCCTGGGGTGTGTTAAGGAAGTAGGCGTAAATGCAGCGCAATACAGCCTGGTGCGTCACAATGATCACGTTCTCACTGCGCTCCAGCTCCATGATAATGGGCTCCAAGCGAATGACAACATCGCGGTACGATTCGCCACCCCGGTAGCGGTAGTTGTACTTGTCTTCGTCGCGGGCGGCAAAATCCTCGGGGTACTTCTCGGCAATCTGCTCGTAAGTCAATCCGTCACAGACTCCCGAGTCAAGTTCATCCAATGCCTTCCACTCCAGTTTCTCGAAGCCAGTTTCCGCAGCTAGGTGACGCGCCGTTTGGATGGTGCGTTTTAACGTGGATGTCCAGATCACAATCTTCGTGTTGGGCGGTACACCGGACTTCTTCAGTAGACCAGGTAGAGCTTTGGCATAAGCTTCTCCACGTTCAGAGATGTTGGAGTCCCCTCCAATCTTTCCAGTCAAGTTGTATTCCGACTCTCCGTGCTAGAGGGTGATGAGTACAGGTGTGTAGATGCATGCATGGTCAGACTTACGCGAGATAACCAGATCGAGCGAGGCTTGATGTGGAGGTTCTGGATGTAGTAGACCAGTCGGCTGGACAAATAGTCCTTGATCTGGTTAATGATGACGGTGGAGCCAACGTTGATGAGTTTTACGTAGGTGTAGCTCTTCTCGCCGTCATCAATGGTCTCGTAGACTTTCTCGTAGTTGCGGATCCGCTCGCGGAAATCCCGGGCAGCAACCTCCGGGTCCTGCCCCTTGTAGTCCGGCGAGGTCGTCTTGACCTCGAGGATGTTGTTCATAATCAGGTCCTCCTCGTCACATATCGACTCGACGTACAACGTCTCGATGTTAGCTTCTCGGCAGCGCTCATTGATCCAGCGGCGGCGCTCTTTCGTCGAATTCGTCGCATCGAGGATCGCGACCACTCCCTTGCCAGCATCGAACCACTGAATCATATCTGTGATGGCAGCATCGGCCGCGGCACGGCGCATCTTCTCGCCCTCCTCGTTGTGGGGGTCAAAGAACGTGGCGCTTGGCTGCGGTGTGCCCTGTCGGCGATAGGTGCCGACATTGAACACGCGTGCAGGAATACCAACCCAAGCGAGATATCTCATAGCTGGTCATGATGTCAGTTATCTCCACACCGGACATGGGAACTTGATTACTCAACGCACCTTTGCCAGCTATGAGACTCTTGCCTCTAGCTGGGAGGCCAACCATGACCACACATATTTTCGACTCATCTGACTATCGATAGGCAAATAAGCATCCAAGGCGAGACACAGAAAGTCGCAGACGACGCCATGTTTAAGAATTGTGTGGCAGAAAATAGCAATGGGGTGGGTGGGTGGCGAGCTGCGACAACCCGCCGGAACTCAGCATTATGTCCCCAGCGGGCATTTTAGGGGGATAAGTCTTTAATAAGACAAAGCCAGCATGACACTGGCCTTGTGTCACACACCACAAGCCAGACACACTGCGACCTCGTTTGCAAGCTCCAAAATAAAAGCAGAGGAAAAGATATATTAAAGGTTGCGGCCAATCAAGGCACGTGCAATGCAAACACCCGATGAACAAAAAGCATGGCAACTTACGCTGGCGAAGTAGTGAGTCTTGCCGTGGCCATTGTCTCGACGAATTAAACCCGACGACATGATTCCAATTGACTATTGAATCTGAAGTAATTGTGCAAGCAACCGGAGGGAGAGGAAAAGAATCCAAGAACTCGGCCACCAGGGATGTCCGATCGCGGACAAAAGGAGCAGGAGGACTAAAGGTGTGTGTGTGAGAGAGAGAGTGTGTGTGTGGGTGTAACTCTGTAGTACTCCGTATATAGAAACCTTTTTTTTTCTCTTGGCTTGACTTGTAGATGTGCTGTTGGAAGTTGTCGCTAACCACTAAGAAGCGGACAGGTCCGGCTGTCTCACGAGGGGGGATCTTTGGTAGGGAAGAGGATAGCAGTGGTGAGTACGGAGTGTAGAAGCAGGAGTAGTAAATTGATCAACAGATGACTCTGGTTGGATGGGCATTGAAACCCAACGGGGGGGGGGCGCGGTCGATGCGGTGAAGAGAGTTGAAAGAAGACAGTCAGTCAGTCGCAAAGTGTGAGGAAGAGCACAGACGTCATGCCGCGGGGCAGTTGCCGGCGACGCTGTGGGTTGGTTATTAGTGATGATTGTCTAGGCAATGATGATTCAATAGTAGAGTCAGTAGTTGTAAGAATAGGAGGTAGACCCTGTTCTGGGTTTCCTCCACGCAAAATGATGAACTTTTTGGTGCAGAAGTGCGCTTGAAGCAGCTGAGCCCTCCAAATTGTATGGTAAAGGAATAAATATTATATATAATAGTCAGAAATAAAAGAAATAAAAGTAATCACGACCGGCGCACTTGACTTCTGACTAGACCACTGTAAGTTACGATAAATGATCAGTGATTTCCGTCTCCCTCCCCGGCCGGTCCCCTTTTCCCCGGTCGGATTGTCCAGTCGGCTCGCACGTGACCCCATTGCGTTTTCGTGTCGGGTAAAATCGTAACCGTCTGTTGCAAATGGGCTGGCTCAGAGATGAGTGAATTACCCGACTAGGACAAAAGTGACTCACGGTCGCCTGACTTGCGCGGTTTTTCTTCGCCAGTTTCGAGGCGTTGAGGCGTGAAGTTGCAGGTCTGGCCATCATGCCTCGCCTCATGTCTGCCGATCGGGATTCCGTCCCTTGCATTGCCTGCTGGTGGGACTGGGGATGACAGCTTGGAGCGCCAATTGTCCATCGGTCCCCTGCCTATCAGTATCGTCCCATTCCTGAAGTATTGATCTCCACGCGTCCGACGACGGAGGCTTATGAATCTACGTGTACTGAGGACGGTAGGTCCATACCATATCAATTTAGGCTTCGGGAAGAACGAAGATCATGGATTTATCCGCTAGTCAAATTACTAGCTACAGAGCAAATACTCATATATGAAAGAGAACCTGGTCGGTAATATTCCTTAGATTAAGCTAATCTCAGCCCTAAAATAACTCCGTTTTGGTCGACTCTATCGTCATTAGATCTGGGAAACCTTCCCGTTTTTAGAATTTTGGTGCCTTTTCTGTGCCTCGGATCTGCACCAGGATTTGGGGAGCCTCAAAAGACGGAAAACCAATACCCCTCAACAGAGATGCTTTCGGGGGAGCGAGAACGTCGGGAGGAGAGCGCGGCTTTCTTCCAGCGACGGTGGCTGTGGTTTTGTGGTTTTCTTCTTCTGATAGGCTGCCCCCCTAGCCATGGGTTGAGGATCAGACGTAGTAGAACGAGGCAGAGAATGGAGGTCATGAATCTCTTGTGGGAGAGTGTCGGGGTGAGAAAAAAAATCACCCCCTCCCTTTTTATGTTTTGTCGTAACAAACGTCAAGCATGTACTTTTGGCTTTGAAAGGGTATGCAGGAACTTTTTTTTTCGTGTCGTGAGAAGGGTTGTCCGGATCAGCCGTATAGCTGGGAAGCACAACTATACGCCGACCGCAACCTCAGCAACAGCATTGGCATCGCCAAGAGTAGGGATTGCTGCATCATCTCGGCTAGACGGCCACTTGGGACGTCTCTCCTGGGTGTTGGTTTCGCCACGAGCTCTCTGGACCCGCAGCATGGAGCCCCAGGGACCCTCCTGGCGGTGCAGAGCGCCCATGGCGTTCTCAGCCTCATCGACGCTGTCGAAATCGACAAAGAGGTAGTAGTGGTCACCGGGCTCGAACCGCTTGGCGGGGTGAGGGGCGAACTGCTTGCTGACGTTCTCACTATCAGGCGACGTTAGTTTTGTACATAATCGAGTGCTGTAGGGCTAGCCTTACACATTGTATCCCTTGAAGAAATTGCGGATGTTGATGTTGAGAGCGTCCTGATCGGTCAACTTGGGGAGACCACCGACGTAGAGACGGCGGCTGGCATCGTTGTTGACGGGTCTGGCGGGGGAAGAGGGAATATCATCGTTGCCACGGCGCCACCGGTCAGCACTGAAAGGCGAGCTTCTCACATCACGAGGAGAGCCATCCACGCGCGGTTGCTGTTGCTGCTGCTGCTGTTGCTGCTGCTGGGACCGCTCGCTGGCAGACTTCACAACACCCGGCTTGATCTTGACTGGACGGCCAAGCATGTCCCGGCCATCCAACTCAACCATGGCCCGCTCGGCCAGTTCCTTCGTCTCCAGATCGACAAAGCAGTATGAGGGGTTGCGGCCCGTGAAGGGGTCAATGGCGATATCGATACGCTCGCTAGGAAGCACTCAGTTTAGGGGCTCATCAACAGACAAGAGTCGTTTCGCATACATTTGGAACTCGGCAGCGGTAAAGAGTGCTTGCACATCCTCCGACTTGGCCGTGTAGGGCATGTTACCCACGTAGAGACGGCGGCCCTCAGAGATAGCCTGCGGCACGTGTGCGCTGGGTCTGCTGAAAGCGATTCTCGAAGTGCTGGTCTTGGGGCCCGGGGAACCGGCGCTCTGCGCACTCGGGCTCTCCTCGCCCTTCAGGCGCCAGTTGGGAGAATGAAAAGCACGGCCGGTGGTCCTGACTCCATTCTGGTAGAAGTTCTTCTGGGGGGCTAGGCACTTGTTAGTGACGAGTGCTTCAAGAAGTTGTGCTGATCGCAGCCCCTAGAGGAGCCCGAACGCAAATCGCCTACACACTTTGTTGCTGAGGGACGGGGCTTTCAGGAGCGTCGGCCATTGTGACAGAGATTTTCGCAGACTCGAACAAAGTCAGGATCGGTAGTGACAGGGTATAAGAATCGGTAGCCTATGCGATGAACGACAAATTAGCATGGTATAGTCGCATGACTGCCGTAAATACACGGATTTCCTAAATTGACAAGAGACGATCAGGGCAGATTGGAAGAGAATCATACCTCTGTTTCCGGCTAATACTCCACGCGGTTGAAATGAATGTCGAACAGAAGGACTAAACACTCCAGATCTCCGATCTTCTCAGACAGATCAAAATCTCCGAGGAACAAAAGGCAAGCGACGGAAAAACAACACAGAAACGCTCTGCTGCTGAAGCCTGCGTCAAAAAATTAATCTGGGGCGAGGCCAACCCGGAAGCAAACATCGCAAACACCGCAAAACCACCGCGGCCCGAGAGGTTACACTGCCGGCTGTGATTGGCTGGTTAGCGAACCAAACGCGTATATAAAGACGCGGCGGGCCTCAAATTTTCGTTCCAATTTTCTGTTTCTCTTCTATCTGTTATACGCCTCGCACTGCTCAACAAGATCTGAGTTCATTGGCAATTGGCTTTGAACGCTTGTTTCGAAGATCCAGCGTGCTCTACAACCTGCGAACAGCTCAGCTATGAGAATCATGTCTTGCTCTGGCTAAGCAGATTTCGCATTGATTTCGTCCATTGCAGATATCCCTAGCATCTTTGCCCTTGCATATGTCACCATTCCTACGTGTTCACTTCAATGATGAAGCAAGATTCACACAGACCTGTTCCGAGTTATTATACATGCGGATCAACAATCGTACCAACTGCTGTCTGACAAAGTGAACACTACCCCTACCCTTGCTGTTTCTTGTCTCCGTTCCTCGATATTAGAAGAATCAAATCGCGCACTTGGCTCACTTGAAATCAATCTTTTCTTGGCCCTTAGTAGTAGTGACCCAAAAAAAGTATGAAGTAGGGTTAGCTAGAGGGCTCCCTGTCCTGTACACAAGACCCTGCTACTCCTGCCACTACACATCATGGATGCGGGAATCGAACTGCACGACAACTGGTGTCAAGCATGATCGTACCCCGTATCGGTCACCGCGTCGTCATCCTCTCTCTCGTACAAGATCTGAGGACGAACGTTCTGACGGAGGATGTATCTCCTGATGAAGTAGGGGATCTGACGCAGCCCATACTTGGCGTGGAAGCGTGTGGGAACCCCAAACACTTGATCCAATTCTTCGAGTGTCTTTCCTTTGGTTTCGGGCATGAACAGAAGTATCAGAAACCATCCGACTATACACCAACCGCCGTACCAGCTGAACGCCCCCTGCGGCGTGAATGCATGCCGAAGGGAAGGCCAAGTGATGGCGAGCGTGAAGTTGAACAGCCATGTCGTCGAGGTAGCCAAAGCCATGCCGTAGGACCGCACGTAGAGTGGGTAGGCCTCGGCCGAGTATGTGAACGGCACTGGTCCCTCGCCAAACGAATATACAACACCGAAGAGGTAAGTGCCTAAAGCGACACACCCCATGCGGGCAGAAGTGTCTTCGGGTATCCAGAAGCTGAAGCCGGTGAAGAACATCGACAGAGCCATCATGGGAAAGGTCATTAGGAGAAGATTGCGACGGCCAAACGTGTCGATTTTCCACACGGCAGGTAGGGCAAAGAGGAAATTGATCATTCCCCACCCGAAGGATGCTGCCAGTGCCTTGCGCTGATTTGCGACTGTCAGCATGTTTGCCGGCCCTGTGGACTGCAGGAAAATTTCAGATGAGTAGTATGCGATAACATTCACGCCTAAAAGTTCATCAGTCTTCCGATCTCCAGCTGGGATTGGTCGCACAAACCGCAGAACTGTGAGACATTAGCAGCTGAATCTTCATAGTGACTATTTTGTTTGAACGTACCTGCTGCATGAACATCACCAATTCGGACGCAATCATTGCACGTCGGTTACGAGGAACACGAATGAGCTCCAGGATCTTGTTCTGGCCAAGCTTTATGCTGGCCTCGGCTTTCAGCAATGTATGCATATAGTACATGTCACGCGCTGCTTGGATCTTGTTGTAACGCAAACTACACATCGACTCATACGCTTTATCGTACCGATTCCGCGACAAGTACCAACGAGGGGATTCTGGACAAGTGAAGACAAAGCAGCAAACCAGGAGAGCCGGGAACATGGCTGAAGCCATCATCATACGCCAATTGAGGCCGACGATCCCTGAAGAATCACGGACCTGGAAGAACGCAAGATCTGCGACGTAGCCGAACATGATCCCGAATGCTGTCCACATCTGCCATTGCATTACCAAAGCACCACGGATATTAGGAGGTGCCGTCTCCGCGGCGTAGATCGGCACCGTTGCCGACTTGGGGCCTATCCCGAAGCCCAACGCAAAGCGAGCGATGAACATATGCCACCATGTGTTGACGAACCCTTGCCAGAGGCAAGTAAGCGCAGAGAAGCAGCAGGTGATGAAGATGGTCCCTCGACGGCCGAACCATGCATTGAATGGGACCGTCAGCCAGCAGCCGATGATGGCGCAACACAGATATGGCGCTGAGTTGACCAGTCCAAGCAGCCAATTGGAGCGGGAGTCGGTGCCATCGATGCCGAATTGATGCTTGTAGAAGATCTGGGCGCCATTGACCACTGTCTCATCTGCAGGAGCCAAGGAGTTTCAGCCAAGTTTGACGGGGAACCCTTGAACGATCAATGGAAATAGAACTTACCCATTCCTTGTACCGCAGCAGAGAGTGAACACAGAACAATAACCAGGTACATGGTCCATGGCTGACGCCAACGATGGGCGAATTCTTTCTTCAAGATTTCCAGCTCCTGGGGCGTCAGACCAGGAACCTCCGCGTACTTTTCCGGCCTTTGAGCTAGAATGGCGCCCATGGCGAAAGCACGAATGTCTTCTTCACCCCCAAGATGATGCTCAATGGCGAAATTGATTCCTCGCCTGCGCAACTCTTCTTGAGTTTGACCAGCAAGAGGATTGGCCAGCTTTGCATTGATGTTACGCCGAGCACGCTCCGCAACGGTGCCGAGCGAGCGTTGGAGAGCAGTGTTGCCATCAGTCTCCTGACGGTTGAGAGCAGATGCCCCAACGACAGGAGGCTCTTCTTTGCCGAAATAACCCTTCATCTGCGCGTGTTGGTGTCTCGTTTGCGCTGTTGGTGTTGGTGTTTTGACGAGGGGCTAATGAAGGACTGCCAGACGACTAGGAAGAGGTTTATGTTAGTAGGACTGTCAAAACATCAAGTCTATGGCCGAAAGTGAATGACGATCGATCCTTGGTAGTTGAACTCCTACTGGACCAGACTGTTTATTCCACACCATGTGTCCGACAACAAAGAGAAGTAGCCTTCATAAAGAAGTTGAAGTCGAACCGTATGGATGGGAGATCATCTGGCTGAGAGACGAACCGGTTTTGGCAAAAGGAGTTCGGTACATACAAAGAATCCTCTCTTACCCCCTGGACCATTACCAAAGATTTGGGTGGAAATGAGGAATGGAGCGAACAGGTGAAGGGAGACTCGACTCACTCGGCCTGGTTGACCAGCAGAAGGACCGCACGACTGATCTTCCCAGTCGACATCCCGCGGTGATTGCGACAGCCCTTCGAACGAGGCTGAGACCGGGCGTTCAGTTCAGCTGATCGTGTCGCTCTTCTGCTCCCTCACTGAGTGCTTCCAAGTATCGAAGTTGAAAAGGTCGCTGGGGTGGTTGACGGGATGCGGACAAAGAGGCAGTGAGGTGGAAGTGAGGCTCGTATCCTACCCAATTACCATCAAACAATCTTCTCGCTCAGGAGCCCAAGACCTAGTCTTCGTGGTTGAACCAGATGAATATTAGATGGTCTGGATCTCAGCAAATGCCGATGAATGAAAGTTGGTCCGACATTCTTCAACTGCAGTCTCTGCAGTCTCTGCAGTCTTCTCGAAGTGTCTGAAGCGCGTACAACGTTGCACGATCCTACATCTTCGACTATTTGGTGAATAGCACATGAATACAATGGACCGGGTCCCTTGTTCCGGAGTCAGCCGACAGCTTATACGAGAGTCCATGATAATGATTGACAATGTGCTGATCTGCACGACTGTTGACAACGTGTCTTTGGGGAAGGAGGGGGGGACGAATGGGGAGACCCCGGATTTCCGTCGCTTATGCTTGGCTTCTGGCTTCTGGCTTCTGGCTTCTGGCTTATGGCTGATGTTTGGAGTCTATTGTTTGCGATGCGGGGTTGCCCGCCCCGTCGGAAGCGGATTGACAGGAGTGGAGTGCTGACTAGACTACTAGGCACATAGTGTAGGTATACAAGCATATATAGCATCCCCAATGACAACATCATCCTGATCCGATATATCCGAACGATCGGAAAGCTTCCTGCATGATACTCGACTCTTTTACCTGGTCTTCCATCCGAAAAGGTAGACGTGGGTCTATTCGATAACTATTCGATATTATGCTGAGTCGGCAAGGGGCAATGAGGGGAAGGAACCTAGCCGCTTCCGACCCGCCTCTATCATCCATGAAGTCAAAGAGACTCTTCCAAGTTCGACTTTCCCCGCCCGCATCGCCGAAACTATAACTATAACCATGATCTGTTGACCCAACATGCTCTTCTGCTTGATCTGGTTTCTCAAACAAAACTTCTATCACACTTCTCTCGATTGAAACGCTGAACAAAATACCAACCATGCTCGGAAAGATAGCCCTCGAGGAAGCCTTTGCGCTCCCACGCTTCGAAGAGAAGACCCGCTGGTGGGCCAGTCTATTCTCCACCGACCCCGAAACCCATGTCAAGGAGATCACCGACATCAACAAGATCCGCATTGAACATGCGGACAAGCACGGCGTGGGATACCAGATCCTCTCTTACACGGCTCCAGGTGTCCAAGACATTTGGGATGCCGCCGAGGCGCAAGCTCTCGCCGTTGAAATCAACGACTACATCGCCGAGCAGATCCGTGACCGTCCCGATAGGTTCGGTGCATTCGCGTAAGAACCCCCTCCTCCACTACCTCGGAACATCATCTTAAGTTAGCCTAACACAACACTCAGAACTCTCTCCATGCATGACCCCGAAGAAGCCGCCACCGAGCTCCGCCGCTGCGTCGAGAAGTACGGCTTTAAGGGTGCCCTGGTGAATGACACCCAACGCGCCGGTCCGGATGGCGACGATATGATCTTCTACGACCAGCCCAGCTGGGACATCTTCTGGCAGACATGCACGGAGCTCGACGTGCCTCTGTACCTGCACCCGCGCAACCCCACCGGGACCATCTACGAGAAACTCTGGGCAGAGCGCAAGTGGCTCGTGGGGCCCCCGCTCAGCTTTGCGCACGGCGTCAGTCTTCACGTTCTGGGAATGGTCACCAACGGGGTCTTCGACCGGCACCCGGCACTACAGATCATCATGGGGCACCTGGGCGAGCACGTCCCCTTCGACATGTGGCGCATCAACCACTGGTTTGAGGACCGGAAGAAGCTGCTGGGCCTGGCGGAGACGTGCAAGAAGACGATCCGCGAGTACTTTGCGCAGAACATTTGGATCACCACCTCGGGCCACTTCTCGACCACGACGTTGAACTTCTGTATGGCGGAGGTGGGTTCGGATCGCATCCTGTTTTCGATCGATTATCCGTTCGAGACGTTCGAGGATGCGTGTGTGTGGTTTGATAATGCAGAGTTGAATCTGGTGGACCGGGCGAAGATCGGACGGGAGAATGCGAAGAAGCTGTTCAAGCTGGGGGCTTATAAGGACTCGTCGGCGTGATGTAGCAATATATTCAATCAGGGCCAACTTCTCTCCTGCTCTAACCTTAGATGAACGTAGGTCATGGTCATGAGTGTTCTTTGCCTTAGTAAAGACTATTCTACAGTTGACTGTACTAGACTGCGTGCCTTACTGGTGTTTTCTAGTAGCTTGTTATTCTTTCTTACTTCTTGACTATTTCGTCCCTGAAGTTGATGATGGCATTCCAAAAGAATATAGTGACTACTTTCTCCCCAGACCAGATAAGAAGTTGATTCTTTAGAGCCTTGTAGGTTTGTGCGATCATTCATGAATAGTTCAGCCATTCCATATGCTGTGAATGGGGAACAGTCAGACTGGTGATGGCCTGCACGCTCCAAGGTCGACCTAGTCGATGGGGCGATAGTGTGTGTTTCAATATTGTGTATACAAACACCCTTGTGTGTTAATATTGCTGTTTGTGCCAGCGCCAGCCTTCTCTACTACTGTGAATACCACGCACGATACTCTGTGACTCTTCCACCTCTCTTCTTCCACCTTAATATCCTCTCCCTTCACTTGAAGAAAAGGGAACTGAATCGATATCTCCTCCCTATATCTCTTCTCTCCCCGTCCTCTTCCTCAACCACACTACCATCACCGATCTCAGCAGAGTGAGTCTAAATCCTACCTCAACTTGACAACCGTCACCTCGAACCAGAAAGATGGACCTCAACGTCCCAGCCCAGCTCTCTCACAGCCTCCCTCCCTTCTCCCCCATCCTCCCCAGCATCGAGCAGGACGAACAACCCACCACCACCGAGCCATTCCCCGACTACTTCGCCTCCTGCGAACAAGCCGACTCGCGAGCCGACACGGCCCAGGAGGAAGCCTACAAGTACGCGCTGTCGAAAGTGGTGGAGGCCGGCGCGCAGGCCAAGAGACTCGACGCGATGCTCATGTCCACGATGCTGTTCACCCCGGAATGGACATTGCCTGACCCGACCACAGCCTTCAGCAACACACCTCCAACAAGCACCAGCAGCAGCAGCAGCAACAACACCAGCAACTCCAACAGCAGCAACAACAGACTCACCCCACCCACCACGCCCACCAACCCATCACTCACCGAAACCACCCCCAAGCTAGCAAGCTACCCAGCCTGGGCCCTGCACCCGGACCTCGAAGCCACCACGGAGAACAAGAAAAACATCCTCGAAGAGATGCGCATCCTAACCAACAGCCCGAGCCTCAGCCTCGCGCTGCGCACCCGCTTCATCACGATCTGCAACACCATCCTGAGCGTGCACACGCTGCTCTTCCGGCGCGTGCCCATCCCCGGCCGCCACCACCCGCTGGACTCATTGACGCAGCCCCAGCTCCACCGCGCGCACCACCTCGCCAACACGCTGGTCACCGACCTCGCCGCCCTGCACCACCTGTTGTATGGCCAGTACGAGCACTGCCGCAGCGCGCAGCAGACGATCGCGCATATCGCCGCCGACACGGCCAACAAGAACCCGTTCACGCGCTTCAAGGAGATGGCGAGTATTCTGATCAAGTACGTGCTGTGCCCTTACCCCCATCTCTCAACCAAACCCCAACCCCCAACCCTACCCCCCCAAGCCTAAAGCTAACAAGAAAAGCACCCTCCCCACCCCCCACCCAACCGAACAACGCCTCCTCCTCATCACCCTCGACCTGTACGACGCCTACCTCTACACAGACTACCACCGCCTCCGCCAGTGGCCGCAGATGCTGGCCGAGGGCCGCGACCCGCTGCGCCTGCGCCTGACCAACGCCTTCTTCCGGGCCTGGGATCTGCTGACCCGCGCCCTCGAGTGCTACCAGGCCGTCGCGGCGATCCACGCCCGCATCACCGCCCACTACCTGCGGCCCGCCGGCGCGCTGCTCGGCCGCGAGGTCGGGGCCCGCGTGTTCTTCGATCTCAGGGTGCGGGCCGCCGTGGCGCGGTGTCGCGAGCGCATGGTGCGGAATGATCGGGTTTATCAGCAGGATTTGTGGGAGGTGTATCGGCGGGAGGTGGCGGAAGAGGGTGGGAAGGTCTCCACGGAGAGTGGGTGGGAACAGGAAAGGGATGATTGTTTGGATCGCGGGGGTGGGTGTGTTTTGCAGGATTTGTTTCGGTGGGATGAGGGGGGTGGGGGGGAGGGCGGTTATTATGGGGGTGAGGGGGAGGTGGGTTATTATCTGGATGGTGGGGAGGAGGGTAGGGAGGAGGGTAGGGGATGGGGATGGGGAGGGGAGGTTTAGTCCTTAGTCCTTTGGGGGGTTGGGTTGTTTCTGTGCTGATGATGGAGGGTGATCTGGTCTGGAGGTGAGGGGGAGTTGTGCTGGAACTGATTGAGGTGATGGGTTGAGCTCAGGTGGAGATCTGGAGAGGTGGTTCTAGGGTTTGGCTCAAGATCTTCCAGCTTCAGGGGTGAAGGGAAAGGGAGATACTTCGCGATTATTGCGACATGTGGTGTATGCTTGAGGAAGGCGAAGCGATACATCGCAAGGATAATGATATCCATCTCTGTGATAAATTCCTCTAAGTTGCCTGCTAATTCATTTAAGTCGTATCTTGACGAGGCTATGTTGCAATGCCTCACTGAAGTACAGCGAATAGCTTCGATGAACGCGTGGAGTAGCGCACGCTGACCTTCTCGTTGGTAGCATGCTCCATGAACATACCCAGAGATGTGGACTCTGCAGCTGCGATATAGCAGGGATTAGCCTTAAAGGGCAGCCATGGGACGGACCTTGGAACTTATACTAGTAAATTGACTGCCATGCCGGAATAGCGACGACCAAAGGCTAAAGTTACAAACGGAAAAGTCATACAGGCTTCATATAACATCCACTCGATAATGTATATTAGATTGAGAAGTTATTAACCAATACGAAGCATGTACAGCACCCCGATCGAAAACGCCGTTGAGAACCGGAGCGCCTATTTGGATCGAGTAAAGTGCAGGTTGACCCTCCCTCCGGGCAGGTTTGACATAAGCTAGTGATATGGGAAGGCAGTAGAACAAAACGTTCCGGCGTCAGCCCAAGTCCACTCATCAAGACGAGCCTCGGAAGTTAACGAGGGTCGGTGGCATTCTGCGCACATCGACTAATTGACACCTCATAGAAGAAAAGGAGAGTGGCAACTTAAGTAGTGCGGGGAGGATGAACCCGAAAATCACGAAATGTCAGGGTTTGGTTTACGATGGCTTGTGAAAGGATCATGACAAATGGTGCGAGGCCAGGCTCGGCGCTATTCGTCCTTCTTACTGGGATCCGTAGCCAGAGGCTCGGCTTCATCCTCGTCGTCCGGTAAAGGAACATCCATCACACGCGCGCCAGCTGTCTCCAAGGTTCTGCGACTCCAGGCCCGCACGCCTTTATAGACAGCCTAAGACGAATCAGTCGCTGAGGTCAGTAGATACAGTTCGGAGAGAGGTCACTCACCCACAAGAAGGTACCCACGCCGATGACAACGAGCAGCCAGCCGACTCGGGTTCTGCCGGTATTTCCGGTGTTTCGGCCGGAGCTGTTGCCGCTGATCAGGCGCGTGGAACGCACCATCAGCCCAGGCCAGGAAGAGAACGCAAGGACGGACTTGATGCAGGACAGCAGGCCCAGAGTGACCACTCCCTTGAGATAGTGTTGTGGCCAGGAGACCTCGCGGTCAGGCACCGGAATCCTGGTCTCCAGCTGCACGGGCCAGATACCCCTTAACTCGGTGGGTGCGAGGGGATCATCAGGGTGCGGGATGATGTTGAAGAGAGGGTCAGCAATGAAACCAAGTAGAAATACAGTAAGCAACAGAATGGCGAGAGTTAACGCGAGCTGCATCATGGTGCTACTAATCCAGCGCGCCAAGCGGAGACGTTCTAGTCGGTAATGGAACCCACAGGTCGGGCAGTGCCAAAAATTGCGCCGGCTGTAGCCTGCGTCCGAGTGGCGCCACTGTTGCAGGCATCCTTCGTGCACATAACGGGAGGATCCTTTGCATTTGCAGGGACGGAGCAATCGCCCGGACTCTGGGTCCGACGATTCGTAGACAGGCCGCTGTTGGGGCTGCAGAAACCCCGGGATATGTTCCGAGGGAGGAGAAAAGGTGGGATAGACCGTTTCCAGGCAGATGCGACATGTCCGAGGCGAGTAATGCCGCTGTCTAGTCTCTTCTGTGGTATTGCCCGACTCCTCCTGTGGAGGGGTGTCTGTAGGGTCCTGCTTGGTGTGATCCGACTGAGGCGGCGCAGCCGGTTCAGAAGGCCACTGCCAGAGCGGCTCATTGCGCGAATCCATTGCTTCTCCTAGTTTGTAGATTGTTGTTGCATAGTCTAAGAATCAGCAGATCTACCAGCGATCTGACGCCTGTGATACGATCAATGCCGCGATAATGATTGTTGCATGAATAAAGGTTGAGAAAAAACAAAGAGGAGAATTGTTTGGAGGAAGGCGGGGGGGGGGGGAAAGGAAAGAAAATTAAGAGAAGCGGGTGGAGAAGGTCAAGCGCGTAAAAAGCGCACTAGCCGCTCGCCTAACGTCACCGCCCGAGGCGCGGCTTGGCTGGTGGTGGTGGTGGTTGCTTTGCTACTGCTGCGTCAACACCTGCCGCCTGCTGTCCGAAGGGAAGCTTCACATCAATCCAATCCCCTCCACCACCACCACCACCACCACCTCCCATTTTCCATCCCCATCATCCCCAATCACTTCCATCTATCTCCCCCACACACATACCTAGTATCCTCCGGAGCTTCTGGAGGTGAACTATCGTCTCCATGGCTGATCGTTACTCTTTCTCTTTGACCACTTTCTCCCCTAGGTAAGCCAAGCTCTCCGCTAGTACTCGAGTACATCAGCTAACAGTCGGGGTGTAGTGGAAAGCTGGTCCAAATTGGTAATAACCTTCAACCAGCTACTGCTTTGCCGGGTCACTGACAATGCCTAGAATATGCTCTAAATGCCGTCAACCAGGGTGTAACGGCCCTTGGTATCAAAGGTATCGTGGCCCTCGACTCGCCGCAGCTACAGCTACAGCTACAGCTACAGCTACTGACTCCCTGCCTCACCGGACACAGCTACCAACGGAATCGTCCTCGCCACCGAGAAGAAGTCCTCGTCGCCTCTGATCGACCCCCCCTCCCTCTCCAAGATCTCCCTGATCACGCCCGACATCGGCATGGTCTACGCCGGCATGGGCCCGGACTACCGGGTGCTGGTCGACAAGGCCCGCAAGGTCTCGCACACGGGCTACAAGCGCATCTACAACGAATACCCTCCCACCCGTATATTAGTGCAGGACGTCGCCCGGGTCGTACAAGAGGCGACGCAGTCCGGGGGTGTCCGACCGTACGGTGTCAGCCTGCTGATTGCGGGCTGGGACGAGGGCATCGAGCCCGAGACCGGCGATGCCCAGCACGGCGACGAGGAGAAGGAGGGCGAGCCCAAGAAGGCGACCGGCAAGACGGGCGGCATCCTGAAGGGCGGCCCCAGCCTGTACCAGGTCGACCCCAGCGGCAGCTACTACCCGTGGAAGGCCACGGCCATCGGCAAGCACGCCACCAGCGCCAAGACCTTCCTCGAGAAGCGCTACACCGAGGGCCTGGAGCTCGAGGATGCCATTCACATTGCCCTGCTGACTCTGAAGGAGACCATTGAGGGCGAGATGAACGGGGACACGATAGAGATTGGTAGGTTTTCTGCGTTTGTGGGACAAGGTTTCAAGCTGACGTTTTTGTTTACAGGTATTGTTGGACCTCCTGCCGATCACTTGCTGGGCTTTGAGGGCGTCGAGGGCGCGCGGGGACCCCGTTTCAGGAAGTTGACCAAAGAGGAGATCGAGGACTATCTGACCAACCTATAAACCCTTCTCCGTCTTGTTACACTTTATTTGGCGGGACCTTATAGCATAATAGACATCTATCAAGTCTGGCAAGGTTTCAACAAGATGATGCTTCTAAAGAACAATGAACAAGGGTGACAGCCGGAAGACCCCGGGACAACCAACGCAAGTGATGAAATGTATGGGGCGGGTCGACATCGCCAAGTAATGCCGCAATCTGAAAAGGAAACCCTAGTACTATACTAAGTCAATGAATGTGATTTGTGCTAAAACTGGTTGTGTCTAAAGTAGGGAGGAACCTTGCACCGTCCGCCACTCTGGGGGATCTCGGCAAGATATGCTACCCTACCATCGACCCCAGGACGACTGGAAGAGCTCTTCCCCCTTGAGGTAAATGCTATCCACGAGGAACAACTGGAATAGATACTCGAAGTCTCCGCCCCACGGGTCACTGCAGCAGAAGCAGAAACCCAACCACGGCCATCACCTCACAGACACGCCAGTCAGTCTTCGGTGTTGCCAAAATGATAGCCTTGACCGATATCAATAAACCCGCAGGGAGAGAGGAGACATGACTTACCCATTGAGCACTCGCTCAACATCCTCTGTAATCCCATACCTATTTCAGAGTCAAGTTAATGCTAGGCCCCTGGAACTAAAGCAGGAACAAGCCGACAGGGCAGGGCAAGGTTGCTCCCCCCCCCCCCCCCCCAAAAAGGCCCGAGATCTTTATCTAGTGTCCCCCCCTTCCCCCGGGAAAGCTGAGGGTCCGTCCACCGTCCGGTGGGATGCCCGGAAAAGGGAAGGAGCTGTACTACCCCAACAGCGTGGAGTGTGCTGTACTGGACCTTTCGGAGTGATGGCCCATTTCTGTTTTGGGTTATTGCTGCTACTGCTGCTGCTGCTGCTGCTGCTGCTGCTGCTGCGGTGGCTGAATGAGAAGTCCGAGATTCTGTTGTGGAAGGGTATCTTTGGATACCTAGGGGAAAGATGGGATGGGGATCTTTAGCAGAGAAGCTCCAGCTCGAACTCCAGCGCCAGCGCCAGCTATAGTCTAGTGCAGTAATTCCCCTCCTCCCTCCCTGCCCTGTCCTGTCATTACCCCTGCTTTTTGTATGATGAGGGCCGGGGAGTAACGAAGAGAAGCGGTCTACTTGACGCCACATCCACGAGGTTGGGAAGTGTAAAAGCTCCCAGATTCCCATGGTTGAGGATTAGAGTTGGGGATATGACGACTGTTCACTCAACCGGTTTTTTGCATTGTCTTAGTTTGAATTCGAATCTTTTGTTGTTTTGAAGAATACTCCCAAGTATCGAATTTTGTGTTGGAGCTGTGGGGGATCGAACCCATATGTGTTTTGGGCTTTGGGAGACCAAGAGATTTAAGGTATGGCACGTGCACTTCCACCCACCCAGCTAACCCATTCTATCTCCTGTGTGTTGTGTTTCTGGTGCAGTCGAACAAGAACGTGAAAGCATGATGATGATGATGATGATGATGATGAGGAGGAGGAGGACGATGATGCTGATGCTCTCACCGCAGCCGCAGAATCCAGCCCTAAAAAGCAATGCGCGACTGGAGCATGGAAGAGCCGATGGACGGGATCGCGGGCGAGCTCTCGACGCAGCACGGGGGCCTGCGGTCGACGCTGCTCTTCTTCATGGCGGTGGCGTGGTACAACGTGATCGAGCTGGTGGTGCTGGTGCTGACGACCTTCCGGCGGTGGCGGGGGCTGTACTTCTGGAGCCTGCTGCTGTCCGGGGTGCTGGGGGTGGCGCCGTACACGGTGGGGTTCCTGCTGAAGTTCTTCACGCAGACGCCGGCGCTGGCGACCGTGACCGTGCTGACGGTCGGCTGGTGGGCGATGGTGACGGGCCAGTCGCTGGTGCTGTACTCGCGGCTGCACCTGGTGCTGCGCGACGAGCGCCTCCTCCACCGCGTGCTGCGCATGATCCTCGCCAACGTGCTGCTGCTGCACGTCCCCACCACCGTCCTCACCTACGGCGCCAACCTCCGCCAGACCCCCGCCTGGCTGCGCGGCTACAACATCATCGAGAAGCTGCAGCTCACCGGCTTCACCGTCCAGGAGGTCGTCATCTCCCTGCTGTACATTTGGGAGACCGTCAAGCTGCTGCGCATGTGCGCCGCCCGCGAGAACCGCAAGATCATGCGCCAGCTCGTCGGGATTAACGTTGCGATGCTGGTGATGGATCTGGTGCTGTTGAGTCTCGAGTATGCGGATTATTATGCCGTGCAGATTAGTCTGAAGGGCGCGGTGTATAGTATTAAGTTGAAGTTGGAGTTTGCCGTGTTGGGCCGGTTGGTCGCTGTCGTGCATAACCGGTGTCCGCCGGCGCCGATTGATGGGGATTTGCAGCTGAGTCGGTATGCTGGTGGACAGCAGGGGGAGGATGATGATGGTAGTGGGCATGGTGGGTCGGGGGGCGCGATGGTGGCGGCCGCGGCGGCGGCGACGGCGGCCAGGAGTGTCGCCGTGCAGCGGGCCCCGTTGTGCGTGACCAGGGAGAGGACCCATCGTCATCTCGCGTTGAATGAGGTGAATGTCTCGATGAAGTGGAAGGATCGGACGGACTTGGAGAAGGGCGACTGCGATTCGGAGGTCCACCGCGCTTGTTGGAGGTGAGGTGAGGTAATGACTCGATATGATACGACGGTTATGAATTCATGTGTGCATGTGTCTATGTGTATGTATCTAATTCTCAGGTTCCAACTCCGCACTTGATGTCAGGATAGTGAACATTCAACACGGGTCAGTCCGGTCACAACCAGAAATGTCTTTAGAGAGGGCCCTGTACAAGGGGATGAGGGAGATCAATTCCCATCCAACGACCCAGCATCCACCTCTTCGCCTTCAATCCACCCGAATTCTCCCTCGGAGTCCTCTTCATCCTGGCTGTCGGCGATCTCTTCCGCTTTGCGCTTCCGTTGACTGGCCGAGGCTTCAGGTCTTTGGGTGGAGCTTGCTTTCACGACGATCTGCTCTGGTCGTCCAGCCTGTGGAGGCGAAGGAGTGTTCAAAGCGTACAGCCCATCCTAACAGCAAACCAGTTAGCCTTGCTTTCACCCTCACCCCAATACACTCCCCAAACATAAAAGAGGAAAGGGAACACGAACCTCCCTCACCCCAAACCCAACCACCGTGTCGCCGACAACCCTCCCGCGAACCACCCTCCCTCCCCTCTTCATCACCTCCACCACCCTCCCCTTCCTCCACCCTCCTTCTTCCTCCCCCTCTGCCTCAACGAAGTCCTGATAGACCACCATCCGTGTAAACACACAGCTCTCCCAGGCCGCCGACCCCGCCACCACGGGACACAGCGTCGCCCGCACCTGGCCCCGAATCCGGGTGTGGGTCTGGTTCGTCACCAGCACGGCCATGTTCCCTCCTCCGCCTCCGCCGGCTGTACTAGCCAGCTTGGCCAGCTGCGTCGCCAGATCGCTCAGCACGTTCCATTTGCGGTTGACCAGCCACTGGATGTGGGCTTTGTCATGCACCTGCGAGGAGGCGCTTAGGGCGGCGCGTTGGTCGCTCGGGTTGGGGAAGTAGGGGGGGAAGGGGGCGGAGATGGAGTCGACGACCAAAAGGGTGGTGGACGGTGGGGGAAAGTTGGGGGGTGGGTGGTGGATGAGGGAGAGGAGGTGCGGGAGGGTTGGGGTGTGGATGTGAATGAGGTTTTTGGCTTGGATGCTAGGTTCAGATTGGTTTGGTAGTTGCTGTGCAGCAAGAAGGCGGTTGAGTTGGCGGCGGGGGAGTGGGGGGCCCGTGTCTGATTTTGAAGTTTAGTTTGGGGTGTGATGGAGGTATAGGTGGTGGTATAGAAAGGGGAGAGGGACGTACCTATCCAGACGACTGTTTCGCCCTTGGCTAGGGCTGTTGCTGCGGTGTTTAGGCTGCGGTGGTGTGTTGGTTACTGAGGGGGTGGATGTTGGCAGGGGGAAGGGAAGACGAACGCTATGGCGGTCTTGCCTGCTCCCGGGGGCCCGAAAATCTCCGTGACATGACCACACGGTAGGCCCTTGCTCTGCAGATCCCCGAAGCCTTGGAGATCATCTTCAATGGGCGGGGTGACTGCTTCGTCGAGCTGGGGAAGACCCGTTGAGACGGTCTTGTTGCCTAAGGCAGCCGACGCGGTGGATGCGTGAAGGGACTGCGAGGCCGGGAAAGAGATGACTCGATCTAGGGGTGTCAGCTGTCAGCTGCATTTTATTTGTGATCAGATATTGAGGTTGATTGATACTCACTGGGGTCCTGACTAGGAAGGCCCAGAAAGTCGAGTCTATTCATGATGAATGGATGAATGAGATGGATTGATGGAGTTAAGGGTCACGCGTCGCGCGCGCGTCTCGGCTTGTTCACATCCAGCGGGATATGAGGATCTTCTGATTATGGACTGGACTGAGGATGTGATGTCATGATTGAGCTATCACTTGAGCATCGTAAGGAGGTTCTAGACAGTTGCCTTCCAAGTGGACAGTTGACAGTGCTCCGAAGACCTGCCGTAGTCCACGTCCAGTTGGCAGTCCATCGGCATTGAGGATGTTCTGGAAGCTCGGGAACGAGCCGAGATCCGATCTCGCCCCGATCTGATAAAAAAGATCAATGTCGGCCCCGCGGAGGAGCTGCACCTTTTCAATCACCTCGATAACCTGACTATAATTACAGCATACCTCAATTATCTTCCAGTTTGAGACTGCATAACAATATACCTAGATCCCTATCTAACCGATTCCACCCTCCTTTTCATCCACACAGAGCACTCAAATCCACCACCATCAATGCATGACTCAAACTTCACCACCCTCAATGCATTAGACAATGGCGCACCCTCACTCCAACCCCTCCTCCCCTACATCATCTCCATCATCTTCCTGGTCTTCCCACTAACAACCTACCTCCGCTCATCCCCTCAACCTCCCCGAGGCTGCCGCCGCCTCGGCACCAGAAAGAGCAACATCGCGGACGAATACGACCCCCAGTACAGCGAGGGCTCCCCCAGCGACGCCATCGACCCCCCGACCGGTCTCCCAGCATGGCGCATCAAAGCCCTGTTCATCTACCCGATCAAAAGCTGCAGAGGGATCGAGCTCGACACGGCAGAGGTGATCGACACCGGCCTAAAGTACGACCGACTCTTCTGCTTTGCCGAGTACATCGAGGCGAAGCCGCCTGCACCAACCCCTGCACCCACCCCCTCATCGCCCACCAATGCCCAGGATAACCCAAAAAGGGAAACCGGACACTGGACCGCGCGCACCCTGCGCGACCGCCACTTCTGCAACCTCGCCCTCGTGCGGCCGGAGCTCTGGGTCCCGGATCCCACCAGCCCGGACTACTCGGCGTCCCTCCCCGAGGTGCAATCCGAGGGCGTGCTGATCATCCACTACCCGCGCACGCTGCCCGCCCGCCTCGCCCGCCTGCCCCTCCTCCCAGCTTTGTTCCAGCTAGCCCTCACGCTGCGCCTGTGGCCCCGCGAGCAGTCCTTCCGCGTTCCGCTGACCCCCCCCTCCAGCACCCCCAGCCCCAATGCGAAGACAACACGGAAAGACAACAACTACCCCCTCTACCCCCTCAAGATCTGGAAAGACACGCCCCTCGCGCACGACTACGGCCACCACCTCCCACCCTCCCTGCGCCGCTTCCTGGCCGACCCCAACACCACAACCCAAAAACCCCTCACGCTCTTCCGCGAATCCGCCGCCCACCACCGCCAGATCTTCCGGAACGCGCCCCCCAAGGACCAGCTGGGCTTCCAGACCGTCACCGGCTTCCAGGACGCGTACCCGCTCCATCTCCTCAACCTGGCCAGCGTCCGCGATGTGGCTGCGCGGTGTCAGGCCGAGATCCCCCGGCTGACGGTGCGGCGGTTCCGCGCGAATGTGGTCGTGCAGGGGCCCGGGCGGTTTGAGGAGGATGCGTGGCGGAGGGTGAGGGTTGGTTCTCAGGAGGGCGGTGGAGGTGATGGGGTGGAGATCCATCTGGCGTGTCGGACGATGCGGTGTCGGTTGCCGAATGTCGATCCGGACACCGGGGTGCGCCATCGCGCGGAGCCGGATCGCACGCTGAAGGCGTATCGGCGGATCGATCGGGGGGATCCCACGAATGCGTGTCTGGGGATGCAGTTGGTTCCTGCGGTTCGGAGTGAGTGTTTCCCCCCAACTTCTTTTGATGATGATCCGAGATTTATGGTGGTGTGGGGGTGGTGAGGATGGTTGGGTGATGCTGTAAGACTGGGAACTGTTGGACTGTGCAGGCTAACTGGCTGTCTAGATTTCACGCTTCGCGTCAATGATCCGATCACGGTCCTCGAGACGGGCGAGCATTGCTATATCAAAATGTTGGCGCCTGGTGAGGTGGTTGAAGGGGTCTGATCAATTTCTGTGCAACATTACGGTGGCGAAAGGCTATATAGAATATTTATATCATCATTGCATCAATTTAATCCCGTATAATCCAAACTATCGCTTTCCAGGGTATCCCAATCCATCAATCTGCCCTCGCAAGGGTCGTAGTCAAACTAAAGAAAACAAAGCAAATACAAAGTTATACAGCTGAAACTCCAGACGGGTGCTCCCCCTTCGTGTATTGAGCATTTTCAGGGTCGTCCGGCTGTTCAACCGCCCGAGGTTCTGCTCGAGCCTCGACAACAGCCGCCCCCTCATCCGCCTCTTCGGGAATGATCAGGTTCAAAATCACCCCCAGAATGGCGGTGATGGCGAACCCGTTGTTCATCACCAAGTCAATCGCATCCAGCAGACCCGTCAGGCCGCGGTTGTTGCCGCTGTAGGTGAAGAAGTAGGAGAACCAGGTAGGCACCAAGGTGACACCCATGCCAATGGAGAAGGAGGCCGTCAGGACAAAGCGGTTGCGCCGCGTGAACGGCACAGTCGCAATAATGCGGACCCCAGAAATGGCCACGGAGGAGAAGAGGAACGTGGTCATCCCACCAAGCACCGCGCTGGGGATGGAGGTGAGGGCAGCGGCGAACTTTGCAAAGATGCCCATGATGACCAAAAAGAAACAGCAGCAGTAGCCAGCCTTGCGGTTGGCGCACTTGGTCAAAGCGATGACACCGTTGTTCTGAGCAAACACAGACATGGGGGTGATCGTGCACAGTCCGGCCAGCAGACAGGTGAATCCGTTACCCAGAACACCACCCTGGACGCGAGAGTCAAACTCCGGACCCTCCACCTCTACCTGTGATACATCACAGGTGGCGGTGATATCGCCGATCGACTCCATCATGACCACGATGTACACGGCCAGCAGGGGTAGGATCAGAGGTGCGTAGATGGTCAGAGGGAAGGTGCGGACCCAGATGAACGAGGCCACCGGGGCAGCATCGATGCTCGACCGGTCGAAGTATCCGCAAGCGGCAGCAATGATGCATCCAACGAGCAGGCCGATGATCACAGCGCAGGACTTCATCATTGGAGCGCCAAATCGTTCGCACAGTATAATCGTCACAAAGACCGAAAAGCCAAGTCCAATGAACTCGGGGCTGCCCCAGGGGAGAGCATGTGGCGAGTCGGCACTAGGGCACAGTGCACGGCTGGCTGCATCCGTAAAACAGGTTCCCGAGCCACCAGCCCAGTCCTCCATACTCGACTGAATCAGACTGGCTCCAATCAACAAAATCGTGGGGCCGGTCACCAATGGCGGGAAAATGCGTTTCAGAATCCGAGGGCTCATGAACGACAAACCAATTTCGAGCAAGGAACACAGACACGACGTGCCCAGCAGAGCCCCATAGCCCTTCGGACAAGGCAGGCGGTTCCCATCGCTATCCACCGGGCAGTATCCCGACGTGTACATTTGGTTGAACGTTCCGGACGATACGGTGATGGTAGCGAACGAGGTACCAACAACCGAGATCAACCCCGTTCCGACATAGAAGCGAGTTTTGTAGACGTGGAATCGGGCCATCTGTACTGCAGACAATAGGCCGGAGACGATAAGGGAAGTTGAAACCAGGTATTCGTAGTCCTTCGTGCCGAAGTTGGCACCACTCGTGCCACCGATCAGGATAGGAGGCGAGATGACTATTGAAGTCAGCAACGGGTTGTAATTCCAGGAACCTGTCCAACGAACCTCCACCCAGCATTGCCAGCGCATGTTGTAAACCCAAGAGGAGGGCCAAAAGAACGGGGACTTTGTCCTCCAGCCCGAAGAAGGGAGCGGACTTGCGGCCCCTGTTGATGAAAGGAAGGTTGGGGGTGAAAAGGTATGCATAATCGTAGTCACCGACCAGTCCCTCTCTACAAGATACTTGTCAGTATGGAGGAACGGCTCTATCATGACTCGACCAAGCACACATACCTGGTAGTGAATGTCTTGACCATGCGCCGGGTCTTCTCCCGCCAGGACCGTTTAGGTTGCAAGTCGGGACCGATCTGATCAGGTCCGTCCATGCTGAGTGATACTTGGAGATGGATACAAAGGTAGGTGGAGACGGGGGACAGTAAATTGAACGGTATATAGAATTGCCGAATCGGATTGTGGTCTAGACGAGCTCTCAACTCGTGGAATGGATCTGGGGATTCTAGCTTGAGATCACCCCAGAATTGTTCGAAACATTTGATGTCTATATAGATAATAGCTTCATTACCGGCTTCCGAAGGAAATTCGTGTGATCTCAGCGATCGGGTGCAAAGGATGATAGGAGACTATCGGTGGCGTGGAGGTGCGTGAATCAATCGAATAATGCCTTGGACTGGTTATCTCTAGGCTCTCCACGACTGGGAGGCGACCGACTGGAGTCTGGGGAGATACCCAAGCGAGAGCACTAGACTGGACTAGAGAGACTAGAGGAGGAGCAGGTCGAGTCTTGGGTGGTCATGGTGGGGTCCCGCGCGATAAGACTCAAGCTCGCTGACTGTCGATTCATGTAACGCCTCTCGCCGGCTTATCAGTTCTTCCCCCAGATCGGGATCCGCCGACGTCCATCTTCGGTGGCGGAGCTTCGTGGATGGTTATCTGGCTGTATAGACCGGGATGAGTGCGAACACCAGTCCTCTGTCTCCCATGCGGTCGAACCGTCTGGGGTTGAGCTGTTTCTTTTGTGATAGAGATGAGATATGTAGACGAAGTACGGGAATTTGTATGGAGTACAGCCCACGATGGATTGAGCATGGGTCGAACAGTCCGGGGAAGAACCAGAACCGATCGGGCAATCCATTAGTCACGGAAATTTGCTATTCGAGGACACGGCAGCGGGTAAATGTCAGTCCGGATTCCGTCAACTGGTGTCAACTGGTGTGTCAACTGGTGCAGTGTCAACTGGTGCCAACTTTATCACAACCACGCTGACTCCGGCTTTTGACTAATTCGTCTACTACTTTAGTGAGTTGAATGAGTTAACAGTCATTCCAATTTCTGACTGCATCTCGTCCGTTGCACAGAATGAGCATGGTGGTACAACTACCAGCCAAGTGAGGTACCAGGTGATGTCCGGAGTAGTCGCCCGCCAATGACTTGTCCTACCTGCCTGCCAACTGGGTCATGGTGGCATGGAGTCTGAGGAATCAAACCTGACCATAAATTATGCACTGGATAGTTTTAAGTGACGCGAAGCAATAGCTTAGCTGTGGCATCGACGGCAAATTCCAGGAATCTTGGGTATGTTTAGGTAAGCAGCTGACTCAAGCATAACTATGGAGAGTCCTTGCCTACTCCGTACCTTGCCATGATGAGGATATCCTACCGTAGGTATATTTGTGCTCGTGCACCTTGACATCAAGTGACCGCTTCGATCTCTGCACCTCCGCGCTTCTGCCTGAGGCAGGGGTAGGACGAGGTGGGCACCATTGGAATGTCTGGGGTACGAGACTAGTCCAAGTTCTGTCGATGACTCGATGCGCAACATCTGTGCTCCACCTGGAGTACTGAGGAGGCCACTGCAGCAGGTAAGAGCTTGGATAACTACTCTACACTGGTTGCGATGTTTCGAACTATGGAGGTTCACATGGCATCATGTGTAGACACGAAGCTTTGGGATGTTGTCTACCGAGCCTGAGCTGGTCATGTTGGGACTGTGGGAGGCATTTTGATTCTGCCTGAATCATATGGCGACGATCAGCTACGAGGTTGACCCGAGGTGCAAGCTAGCCTGGACCATCATTGACTTCCCGTAGTGGCAAATTGGACAAAAATTCATGGTTGCCGCCCATAGGGCTGCATCAGCTGCTTTCCTGGGAATTCCAGAACTACTCCTCGCCCGGCCCAAAACACATTGCATTGGCCTTGATTTATCGAATTTACTCGAGTGCTAATGACCCCGGAGTTGCTCCCTCCGTCAGCCCACCTGTAGTTAGTAGTTAGAGATTGATAACGAATCAGCCGGGGAGCTGGTGTGCAGCAGCGGAGAAAAGAGCCACTGGATGGCAAATAGACGGGGCCTTGCCACACACTAGCCACGGAGGGAGGCGGTGATCAGCCACAGCCGCCTGCCAGGGCAGAAAAACGTTGGGGATTCAACAGATGTTACCGGACTGCTGATTGGCTGGACGTAGCCGGGGCTGCCGAAATGGGCAGAGGCTGGCCGGGGCTGGTTTGTCGAATCACGTCTCGCCCAACAAGCTTACTTGAGTCCAGATGGTGGAAGAACGGGTGTTTTGTATGGTTCATGGTTGGAACTCTCCCTCCCGAACCTGAAGCTGTACTTTTCTGTACACTCACCAGTCTATGAGTACCTATTATTATTCTTTCATATCCCGTTCCCTCCTAGAAGCACCGTGTGTGTTGCATTCGTCTTTAAACAAGTACCTCGGGATCTCCCCGGCCACAGTCATCCAGCAGTCAGACCACTCACCAGTCACCACTGACTGACCTGTGATCAAATCACTTTCCGGATTCTCTCATTGCCGCATCATCCATCTTCGCCGCCAACCTTGCGTTTCCCCAACCATCATCCCGCCAGTGGACCCTGGGTCGAGTTCCAACTCCGTCCGATTTTTTCCCCTCCCCTCTGGGATTTGTTAAGATCCTTCATTCCTTTGCTGACTCCTCTCTTGCCTTCTGGATTATATTCCCCACCCTCTCCTTGCCTCATTCTTTTTTCTTCCCTTCTTTTATTCTTTGGGTCTCTTCCTCAATCCTTCCCTTTCTTAAAACCTCCCTCCCCCGGATCCTCCCATCCGCTTCGACCACTTTGTCTTTCCACCACCCTCCACATACTCACCTTGTAGAGGGTAGACGAGTGACAACGCACCATCCAAAATGTCTGCAAAGCCAGCGGACGCTTCCCGGTCTCGTGCCGCGGACCCTAAGAAAGTTCACATTGCCGACACTGCGATCAACCGCCAGAACTGGTACAAGCATGTTAACTGGCTGAACGTCTTCCTCATCATCGGCATCCCTCTGGCTGGCTGTATCCAGGCTTTCTGGACGCCTCTTCAGCTGAAGACCGCCATCTGGGCCGTCATCTATTACTTCTTCACCGGTCTGGGCATCACTGCAGGTTCGTACTTCTCCCGATTTGCTTCGCCAGGGGCAAGATGCTAACGGTAGCTCGACATAGGATACCATCGTCTGTGGGCTCACTGCTCCTACTCCGCTCGTCTTCCTCTCCGTATCTGGCTCGCTGCCGTCGGCGGTGGTGCCGTTGAAGGTTCCATCCGCTGGTGGGCTCGTGATCACCGTGCTCACCACCGTTATACCGACACCGACAAGGACCCCTATTCCGTTCGCAAGGGTCTGCTCTACTCTCACCTTGGATGGATGGTGATGAAGCAGAACCCCAAGCGTATCGGCCGTACCGATATCTCCGACCTGAACGAAGACCCCGTCGTCGTCTGGCAGCACCGCAACTACCTCAAGGTCGTTTTCGGTATGGGCTTGGCTGTTCCCATGCTCGTTGCCGGTCTTGGCTGGGGTGACTGGATGGGCGGCTTCGTGTACGCCGGTATTCTGCGTATCTTCTTCGTCCAGCAGGCCACTTTCTGTGTCAACTCGCTTGCCCACTGGCTCGGTGACCAGCCCTTCGACGACCGCAACTCTCCTCGTGACCACATCATCACTGCTTTGGTCACTCTGGGTGAGGGTTACCACAACTTCCACCACGAGTTCCCCTCCGACTACCGCAACGCGATTGAGTGGCACCAGTACGACCCTACCAAGTGGAGCATCTGGATCTGGAAGCAGCTTGGTCTCGCCTACGACCTCAAGCAGTTCCGCGCCAACGAAATCGAGAAGGGTCGTGTCCAGCAGCTCCAGAAGAAGATCGACCAGAAGCGCGCCAGACTCGACTGGGGTACTCCCCTCGACCAGCTTCCCGTCATGGAGTGGGATGACTATGTTGAGCAGGCCAAGAATGGCCGTGGCCTCGTCGCCATCGCCGGTGTTGTTCACGACGTGACCGACTTCATCAAGGACCACCCCGGTGGCAAGGCTATGATCAACTCCGGTCTCGGCAAGGACGCCACTGCCATGTTCAACGGTGGTATCTACTACCACTCCAACGCCGCCCACAACCTGCTCTCTACCATGCGGGTTGGTGTCATTCGTGGTGGTTGCGAGGTTGAGATCTGGAAGCGTGCTCAGAAAGAGGGCGTCGAGTATGTCCGCGATGGCTCCGGCCAGCGGGTCATTCGTGCTGGTGAGCAGGTGACCAAGATCCCTGAGCCTATCCCCACCGCCGATGCGGCATAAAAGATTCGTTCATGACTACTACTTATCATGAATGTACAATTCGCGTCCTGTTTCTGCCTCTGGCGATGTCTCCTGTTTTATAATTTAGCACACAGGGCGTTTGATGATATTCCGAGTGTTGGGAGTTTCCGGAGTTGGCCTTGATTTGTTTTCCTTTTTTTTTTTTTTTCTCTTTTAAAAACCTGCAGACAGAGCGTGTCTGGTTTGATGAGTGGCTTGCGCATTTGAAAAGCGACCTGATATGATCGAAACTCCACAATGCTTGTTAAGAATAGAGCAATGAAGATATCCACATCAAAGTCTGGTTCTTGTAGGCTTAGCTTGTTCGTAGGGTGCGGGGTTTCTTATAGCGGCTGCATGCAGGGTTTTCCAAGGCTGTTTGTCAGCTTGCTTGTGCAGTAGAGCAGCAGGTATAACAGTGAGGATTAGTGGAATTGTGGAGTGGTGAGTGAGACTTGCTGAAACTTGAAGGGAACTGAAGGGTACTGAGTGTGGGTTATGGACTGACAGACTGTGGAGAAAGAGAGAGAGGTTGTGTGGGTTTTTGTTGTGGTGCGGTCACTGCAGCTGAGTGGGATCCACCTGACCTGACCTGAACTGACCAACCTCCGCTAACTGAGTTGAGCTCGAGGTTCAACTGGCAACTGGCAACAACAGCTTGCCTCCCTCACCCACCACCAACTCTCATTACTCTCATTGTCTTGCATCACAACTGCATAGCCACGTATTGTTCCCCGCTCCCTCCCCCTCCAACCTAACCCATTCGCCCATCTTCCACTATCCTCACCATTGCTACCCCTCAATTCCGCCGTACCTTTTATCTACCCGCCCTCCTCGTCCTTCTCCTGGGCGTTTTCCTCGTCACCGTGGCTCCTCCGCTTCGCATTTCCACCCCCACCTTTCGACTCACTTCAGTCCTGAGCCATCTCCGTGGCTCTCGACTGCCAACCACTCCCAACCCGGGGTTGACGAATCTTCGCAAATCTCTCACCACCGCCAGCATGGCCCCCGAGCACCTCCGCCGACCTCCTCAGGCTCCTCCCGTCTTCACGGCCACCGCCCAGTCCATCCTCGACGACGCCAATCGGCTCATTGCCAGCTCCCGCAAGATCCAGGACGATGTCGTCGCCACCGTCAAGCCCGAGTCGGCCACCTTCGACGCCGTCGTGAAGCGCCTGGCCCACGATGAGAACGCCATGGCGCTGGAATCCCACATCCTCAGCTTCTACCAGGCGGTGTCAACCGAGCAGGAGCTGCGGGACGCCTCGTCGAAGGCCGAAGCGCTGATGGACGAGTTCTTCATCGAGGCCGTCATGCGCGAGGACGTGTTCACGCTCGTCGACGCCGTGCTGAAGAAGGACGAGTCGCTCGACCCGGAGTCCCGCCGACTGCTGGAGAAGGAGCACAAGAACTACATCCGCAACGGCCTGGGTCTGCCGGCCGGCCCGCAGCGGGACCGCTTCAAGGAGATCAAGAAGCGGCTCAGTCAGATCAGCATCGAGTTCCAGAAGAACCTCAACGAGGAGAGCGGGGGCATCTGGTTCACCCCGGAGCAGCTGGACGGGGTCCCCGAGGATGTCCTGTCGGGCTTGAAGAAGGGCGAGGGCGAGCACGAGGGCAAGCTGTGGCTGACCTTCAAGTACCCGGACCTCTTCCCCACCATGAAGTACGCCAAGAACGCAGAAACCCGCAAGCAGGTCACCATCGAGAACGAGAACAAGTGCAACCAGAACGTGCCCCTCTTCCAGGAGGCCATCATCCTGCGGGACGAGGCGGCCCGGCTGCTCGGGTACCCCAACCACGCCGCCTTCCGCATCGAGGACAAGATGGCCAAGACGCCCAAGACCGTAAACGACTTCCTCGGCGACCTGCGCTCCCGCTTGACGGCCGGGGGGCAGAAGGAGCTCAAGACCCTGCTGGAGCTGAAGAAGAAGGACGTCGAGTCCCGTGGTGAGCAGTTCGACGGCCACTACTACCTGTGGGATAACCGCTTCTACGACCGTCTCCTGCTGGAGCAGGAGTACTCGCTCGACCAGCAGCTCATTGCGGAGTACTTCCCCCTGCAGACCACCATCGAGGGCATGCTCAAGATCTTCGAGGAGCTTTTCGGCCTTGTGTTCGTGGAGATCACGGGCGAGGACCGCGAGAAGGTGGCTCCCTCGGGCAAGGGCAGCGACATTGTCTGGCACGAGGATGTCCAGATCTTTAGTGTGTGGAACGATGAATCCGAGGGCAGCGGGTTCGTGGGCTACCTCTACCTGGACCTGTTCCCCCGGACCGGAAAGTACGGCCACGCCGCCAACTTCAACCTCCAGCCGGTATTTTCTGTCCTTCTGCGTCATCCAATGACCTACACTAACCAATCTGCCAGGGCTTCATCGACGCCGACGGCAACCGCCGCTACCCGGCGACCGCGCTGGTGTGCAACTTCACCAAGCCGACCCCCAAGAAGCCGAGTTTGCTGAAGCACGACGAGGTCGTGACGCTCTTCCACGAGCTGGGCCACGGCATCCACGACCTCGTGTCCAAAACCATCTACTCGCGCTTCCACGGCACGAGCACCGTGCGCGACTTCGTCGAGGCCCCCAGCCAGATGCTGGAGAACTGGTGCTGGACGCCCTCGCAGCTGAAGTCCCTGAGCCGGCACTACTCGACCCTGTCGCCCGAGTACCTAGCCGCGTGGAAGGAGCAGGCTGCGGGCAAGACCCCGCCCGCCGAGAACATCCCGGACGAGGTCATCGCCAACCTCATCCGCACCAAGCACGTCAACGACGCCCTCTTCAACCTGCGCCAGCTGCACTTCGGCATCTTCGACATGACCGTCCACCAGCCCGAGAGCCACGAGCACATCAAGCAGCTGCCCATCTCCGCCACCTACAACCGCCTGCGCCACGAGATCACCCAGATCGAGGGGCCCGAGAGTCTGGGGCTCGGCGAGGAATGGGGCCACGGCGAGGCCACGTTCGGCCATTTGATCGGCGGCTATGATGCCGGGTACTATGGGTATCTGAGGTAAGTCCCCGCTCTCCTGTTCCTTTTCTTTCGGCCGGCCATGCTGACCCCCAATCCCAGCTCGCAAGTCTACTCCACCGACATGTTCTACACCGTCTTCAAGGAGAACCCCATGAACCCCGAGGCCGGCCGTCGCTACCGCTTCAAGGTCCTCGAGAAGGGCGGCAGTCAGGACGAGATGTCCATCTTGACCGACTTCCTGGGCCGCGCCCCCAAGACTGATGCCTTCTATAAGGATATGGGATTGGCTTGAGTTCTCGGGGTGCTGAGTTGATGATAATGAGTGGAATGAATGAAGTCAAGTTCAAGATTACAAATATACCAGTGGAAATCACATGGCTGATGTCTCTTGATTGGATGCATTATGGATGTATACGTAGCTGGTTCTGTATATTGGAGGAATACTAGTAGTGGGTGTAGACGTCGCTTTGGGTCAAGTGTAGGCCTGAATAACCCCTACGAATCATGTGGCAGTTTTGGAGACCTTGAGGTGGAGCGAGCAGTTTCTTGAATAAGAAAGAGTATCACCCTGATACGTTCTCATCGAAGCATGTAAGGAGGCCCGCGGGACTTGCCAAACATTGGCAGTCAGCCAAATAGGTTTCCTGGTGGGATTGAACAGCGTAGCGCTGCAGTACGCATACAGGAACAATGGCCTGGCCTGGCCTGGCACTGCTAAGGTACCACCTGGCAGGGGCACCCAGCAAGCTCGGTCTTAAATCCGACTGACTATCTGCACTATCCCCGTGAGTCCACGGTATAGATCCGGCTTGCTCTTTGAGTAAGGACCATATAAACTGCATAAATCCCCTAACCACAATTAAGCACGTCCTCATCTCGCCACGGACAGCATCCACCGACCCCACCCAACCTCAACTCCATCCATAGAATCCCAAGCTCACCACGATGCCAAAGACACCGTATACATCCCAAACCACCGCCGAAGAGGCCTGTACTGCGCTCGCGGAGCATATCCGCGGGAAAAGAGGTGGGTTCGGTTTGCCTAGACTCGCACATTTTCTCATCTTGCTCGTTCTGCATCCTTTTGCCCTTCGGTTTCGCTCGCTTCTTACCTTGTGCTGAGTTCACGCTGGACTAACGAAATGCACCGCACACAGTCCTCATAACCGGGCCCACGTCCACCTCCATCGGCGGCGCGATAGCCCTCGCTCTCGCCTCGCTGCCAGTCACGCACCACCCCTCCCTCCTTATCCTGGCTGGCAGGAACCCTGCCACATTGGAGACCATCGTCGCCAGTATCACCGAGAAGGAACCCTCCCTCCGGGTCAGACCTGTGGTCCTGGATCTTGCGAGCCAGAAGAGTGTGCGTCGAGCGGCTGAGGAGGTCCTGGCAGACACTAGTGGCGTGGATGTCATCATCAATAATGCGGGGGTGATGGCTTGTCCGTATGCCACGACGGAGGAAGGGGTGGAGTTGCAGTTCGGGACGAATCATGTGGGGCATTTCTTGCTCACGAATCTGCTGATTCGGGAGATGCTGGAGCGGAACGGTAACAGGGGGAAGGATGGGGAGGTGGTTAGGGTGGTCAATGTGAGTAGTGCGGGGCATAAGAGAGGGGAGGTGAGGTTTGGGGATGTTGGGTTTGAGGTACTGTCGTCTTCCTTCTTTCTCCTGTTTCTGTTCGAAGAGTGTGGATGCTGATGCTGAATGACTAGAATGGAAGTGTTTACGACAAGTGGCAGGCTTATGGGCAGAGTAAGACGGCGAATATGCTGTTCTCCGTGGCTTTGGCGGGGAAACTCGGAGGTCGTGGGGTGATTTCGCTTAGTCTCTACCCTGGTAGCGAGGCATTTGGTGTTGGAGGAATTTGTGAAGGCTGGTAAGTAAGCTATCGTTCTTCTTGGTCCGACGCGATGAACTGACATAATTTTGACAGGATGGAAGACCGAGGATGGAAAGGTCGTTGATGACCCGAAGTTGAATTGGAGATCATTGAGCCAGGCAGCCGCGACGTTGGTTGTGGCCGGGTTTGAGCCGAATATTGCTGGGGAGTATTTTTTTCCCATTGGGTATGGGCTGGTGCTGACATTTAACAGGGAGTAATGGGTCGTACCTGGTCAATAACCATATTGCTAATGACCAGGCTGCTGCGTATGCTCTAAGTCGAGGCAACGCGGAGAAGCTGTGGGCTCACACGGAGGAACTGGTCGGGGAGGAGTTCGACCTTTGAGCTGTAAATTTGATCTCAATGTGCCGATCAAGCAATTCTGTTATTTTCGACTGTCATGTTTGCTCGATCTTACCGGACTGAGCATATCTGCCGTGCAGCTAAAGAGGTTGCTGCGGCCAGAATAGCAGTCCCCAGCCCCAGGCCTGCACATCCGGCGTGGCACTGGTTGATACGAGTAGTAAAGTAGTGGCACAGATTCTCAGCCTTCTTCAGCCGCTGTGGCAAGGTGGTCGATGCTTCAAATTGCCCGGATTGCTTGAGCGTCTGGAGCATCTCGGCTAGAGACGCATAGACGGCTACCATACCAATCCAATACAGCAGCACAAGCGGTATGATCGAAGGGTTCGGGAACGCCAATATATCTCCAGATGCAGAAGCTCTTGCCGCCACGACTGATGCTCGAGACACATACGGTGGGCCATCGTTCTCCAACTCCAGCCCTCGGTACCAATCGAGCATTTGTCCTTCGTAGAACAATGCAGTCATCAGTAGGTTCCCATGCCAGAAGACAAAAAGCAGAGATATACATCGACGGTACGGAGCCGTCGCACGTCCTGTTTTCCGAGCACCGTCGTGGGTGCTTCCAGCTGCCGTACGATATTGCAGGCTGCTTGCACATGCGCCTGCCATGCACCACTGTTCTGCGCTGGCGGGTAGGTGTACGACTCGTATAGGGCCAGGATCATGCCACTGCGGATGAGGTCAGTGGGCTGGTTGAGCTCGTTGAGGGCGCATATTTGCTGCACCGCAAGCTCGTACTGCTGCCGACTCCGCTGGGTGAGTGTATCGTCATGGCGGCTGTTGGCGGCATGATTTAGGGTTAAGGCAACTAGCAACCTGTGGACTATGGGCGACTGGGCCTCCAAGAAAGAAGAAAAGGTCTCGGCCCAGTTGACGGGCGATTGATAAGTGACTGCATCCGGGGTCTTCGGGGGGAGGTAGTCGTCGAGGAAGTGAGCGATCAGCTGTATTTGATCCTGGTAAACGACCAATGATTGCTGACCGCACTCGAAGGTTGTATGTGCAAGATGTATAGGGTGTGAAGTATGTGTTCTGTGACCTATCGTAGCATTGCTGCTGCTGCATGGCATTACCCTCATTATTAACAGGCATTGTGTGACAAGCAGGATAACCCTTACATCCGTGAGTATCCTCCACAAGTCAACTTCGAAGATTGGCACCGAGTGCATTTGGGTCGGGTCATGTCACACTGGACCGGAATGGGCCTTTGGTTAGAATCCGGGGTAACAGCCGAGAAGTGGAGCAGTGTAGACTCACTCACTCACCTTGACCTTTCTTGCCAGACACGTCCGACAGCTTTGAGCACGCCAGGAGCTTCTACCCATCCTAGCTCAATGTCTTATCTTGGTCACATCCAGGCTAGTAGAATCGTCACTACCAGAGGTAATGCCTTCTCGAAGTGAAGGTGGAGAGGAGCAAAGAAGTGGTTTCCGACTTCCGACTTGTACGCAATGCCGGAGCGGAAGAATATCGCCCCGGGTTTGTATACTTCATTTCAGCACTCATTGATGATGCATTGTTACTGTGACGGCCTAGAATTACAAAACAGAAGCAGCAAGCATGTCTTCTTGGTGAAAAAGTATGGAACCTTCTTGCATAAGAAACTCCCAACTTTTGAGGACGATAAATCGAACTGATTGCCATCTGTAATGGCCCCAAAACAACCTGCATTTCCCTCCTGCTTCCAGGCTCCTTTTGCCTGTTCATCGCGCGGCTTGAGGCCCCTGCATATGGAAATTCTAGCCCGCGAATCCCTGGGAGTGCTGCCGTTACTTTTCCATAATGATCTATAGATTAGAATTGAAATCACTAGATGACTTTGATACTCAGAGATCCTTAGATCGAATTTTCCTCCAAAAGAAAAAAAAAAGAACAAGAAAAAGAAAACTAACTGCTCCAGGAGGGGCTGGCCCGCCTCCTCTGCCTCCTTACAAATACTACGAATGCCTTCATAGAGTCTCTTGACTCTGTCGCGCCCCTCTCCGGCTGCCTTCTTAGCGACCTCGACCCGCTCTTCTGCGGCTCTGGCCGCATCGACGGCACGATCGACTTGCTCCCGAAGGAGCTTGTAAGCCCCCTTGGCGACTTCAAGACGCTCCTTCAGCTCATTCATGTGGGACTCCTGACCCTGGGTCAGCCTGCGCTTTTTGTACACAGGGGCCTCATCGTCTTCCTCGAAGAGATCTTCGGGCACTTCATGACCCAGGGCCAGGAGATCCACCTGCACAATCAATGAAAGCCTGTATAAACAGGCTCCCCATAGTGAGCAATATGCTCTCGGTATGACAACCGTATGCGCGAGGGAATGGTCTTTGAACTCGCCGATATCTCACACCATGCGCAAGCGCGAGCTGCATTTGGTGAAGATAACGCCGGCAAAGAAAAAAAAAAGCAAAAGGCTTCCCATGAGCAAAGCTGAGCATTGAACTGAGGATTAGAAATCCAAATAGTAATGGACTTGCGCTTTTCTCTGGATAGAGGACTCGGGGCACGTAGAGTGGCCAATGTGTAATAAATTGGCATAGAAACGGTATTGATATGCAATTCTGTGTCTTTTCCTCTACATGCTCTCGTTGGAACAGCGGCTGAGCTGGGGTGTCGAACGGCTGGAATCAACGTGGAAAGGAAGTGATGGCATTTCCAATGATGGTGTGGTGATGAAGGTGATGATGAAGGTGGTGCTGGTATCCATAGATGGATGCATCAGCAATGCTGATATACTGCATCCGCATTGAAGCTTTTCGCACAATCCTGCTCAGGATGGCTCCGCACTGGAAACTGTCATCCATTCATAGGATTCTCTGAGTTGAGAATCTATAGACTGCTTTGATGCAGTCTTCGAAATTGCCGCAGCAACTAACATCTCAGTCGCGAGATTTCAAATTGCCTTTCTGGTGGCACGGCACGTCTTGGGACGGCATTTCTAGTCTGATGTTTCGGCGGTCTAATTATTAGTCAGAGACACTTTGCTCGTCGAATCTCGCCATTCTCATCTTTGCTTGAGTAACAGGATAGCCAGTTTCAGGTGGATCTTAACTTACAGAAATGTGATTGCCAGTGCTTTTCTCCCTTGGCAGAGATAGCTTTCCAAAAGAGTATATGGTATAAACAGAGGAAGAATTAGATAAAGCGAGAGACTGAAACTGGAAGAAGGGATTGTTTGGTATGTGAGTACGCGTAGGAGTGGGAGTGGGAGTGAACAGGAAGAGGAAGAGGAAGGAGGAGGAGGAGAGAGTCCATAGCCATCAACCAGGTCAATTGTGGTCAGTGAATCCAAAAATCTAAACCAAGATTGAATGATGCCGGCTGAGACGTATGGTCAATGAATGATGAAGTAGCTAGCTTTGCAGACAGCAGCCCTGGAAAACCTTTGCGTCATTGAATGTGCTACGCATGGCCAATTGATTCACTGGCTCTTTGTCCGCGATTAACTCCAGAAGGTATCGATCCTGGTGAAACCGACATTGTAGATTGAATAGTCGGAAGTCTCATGAGGATGTTCGCTCGGTAGTAATGCATCAAGGCATATCCTAGCTTTTGGTCTCTTTGAATGAGAAGCTGTCCCTAGCCGCATGCTAGATCCCAGTTTCCCATGAAGGGGCGTATGCTGAGCCCTTGGAAAAGGTAGACATCAGCAGTGGCCGTCTAAGATGGCATAATCCGATTGATAAGGATTTCATGCAATGAGTATAGTGGTTGTCGGACGGGGTGATACATTAATTACCACGAGTATATCCTAGAGCTTAGAAGTAGCATTTTCACCGAGCAGGCAGACAGGAGGCATATCATAGATTATATGGATTCCCATATCTAGAGTACGGCTTTCCATCCAAGACGATATGCCTTGGCTATGCTATAGCAGCATAAATATCAGATTTTAGAATTGTAATGTGGATCTGTTTCGATGGCATGCATAGACCCAGCGGGAGACTGCACATATCAAGGAATCTTGATCATAGCGATAGAGGCAAAATCCGCTGAAATACGCCCGATGTTGCTTCGGCTTGATAGCGATGTTGCACGTTCAGCAGCAGGGGTCTTGCATTAGGGGCAGGCAGTCTCCCTCAGCATGGAACGTTTGCCGTCGTCGATGAATTGTGGACTCAAAGTCGAAGCTCGAGTTCTCAACACTCGGGAGAAACGAGAGAGAGTTGCACGTAAGAAGCGGGGTGAAGAGGTTTCTGACGATGAGGACTTTTAAACGCGTTTGAAAGGTTAGAAGCAGATGGTAGTTGGCTCGATCGATGCTGGATCATTTTGCGATCAGTGGACCTGTCAGGATATATCTTACGAGCCGAGGCTCGAACTGAACGTTCGAGGCTGGTAACGGTGTCGATTGGTCCGACCTTACTCAGTAGTCTGAGAAGAGAACCTTAGACATCAGGCTTAGGATTATTAAGTGCAAAGAGATGATGCGCTGAAGGTCCAACATCTACTAGATTTGAAGAGGGGGAAAGGGGGGGGGGGCGCAGAATGCTGAAGGCGGTCAGGCCCGCCTTCAGCTGCCCTACCTCGATGTCGAGATAACCTCACAACACGTCATATCAGAATCAACATCCCGTCGATATTTCGACCACGTATACACTATTCTGAACCTATTACGAGCAGCAAATCACTTATTTAAGCCATTAAACCAGGTTTTGAATTCGTATGACCGTGACTTCTATGAACATTAAAGCATAAGCAAAAAAGCTATGTAGCATGTAATCGACCCCTTTTTGACCTTTTAAACGCATTTAAAAGTCCTCATCGTCAGAAACCTCTTCACCCCGCTTTTTCTTAGCAATTCTCTCTTTACGCTTCTTTCGTAATTCGCTAGAAGTGAGCTTCTTCTTCTTCTCAACGACAGTCTGAAGTCAAAGTTAGCATCAGGGTTCATCAAAATATCGGATATATCCGGGGGGGAGGGGGTGGGGGCGGCGGAAAGCCGAGAGTGGAAATAGAAGGGAATAGCATACCTTGTTGCCCATGGCATCGACGATCTCAGTGTCGCCGGCGTTCTTATCCTCCAGACGGGGACCGGAACCCTGACCCTGAACCCAGTTGTGGCCGGAGGGGGTCATCTTACCGTCGACGACGGCCCAGACTTCCTCAGTCAGGTTCTCAGTGAACTCACGGGAGTGAGTGATGATGATAACACCACCCTCGAAGGTCTTGATGGCCTTGGACAGGGCACCGAGAGAGTCACGGTCCAGGTAGTTGGTGGGCTCGTCCAGGACGATGACGTGGGGGCGCTGCCACGAGCAGGCGGCCAGGACGACCTTGACACGCTGACCACCGGACAGACCGCGCATGCGGGAGTGAGAGACAAGCTCGGCGTCGAGACCGAAGTTCTCGCAGTGCTGCTCGATCTCCTTGCGGACCAGGGGACGGAACTGACCGCTGGCGAGGGCCTCCTTCTGATCGACCTCGGCGACCATCTTGGCGTGGGACTGCATGATCTCGGAACGGGGAATCCAGGCGTTGTCGGTGGACATCATGGGGGTCCAGCGCTCGGACTTCATGCCGATGTTGTCACCCAGGGCGAACGAACACTCGTACTCGTAGCTGTTCTTGAACTTTCTACGGGCGTGGATACCAATGACGCGACGGAAGGTACCCTCGATCTTGTAGATCTTGTCCATGGCCTTCTCGTCCTCCTCGGTGACGATCTTGTTGGCACGGTCCATGGTCTCACGGTCCTCACCGGTCTGGAAACGCCACTGGATGTACTCGGAGGGAGTTTTGTCGAGGTGGTTATCGATGTGGGCGAAAGCGTGCTGCTTGATGTAGGCGATACGGATGTTCTCGTGCTGGTAGACGTCACCGGAGGTGGGGATCAACTCACCGGTCAGGACGTTGACCAGGGTGGATTTACCAGCACCGTTGGGACCGATGACGGCAATACGGGAGCCCAGGGAGACCTGGAAGGTGATGTCGGTGATCTGGGGCTTGGGGGTGTTGGGGTACTGGAAGGTCATGTTGTTGACACGGATGATGGCCTTGGCCTTGGTCTTGACACCCTCAAGGAAACCGGGCTCGGGGAACTTGAACTCGATCTCGGAGGCACCGAGCTCGTAGTAGGAGCGAGCGGCAGGGACACGCTTGACGAACTCGCTCAGGTTACCACGGTAACGCTTGAGCTTGAAGCGCTCGTAGTGGACGACGTGCTGGATGACGTTGTCCAAGAACTTGCTGTCGTGGGAAACGATGATGGACGTGCAGGGCGAGGTGCAGAGGTAGTTCTCCAACCAGGCGACGTTCTTGACATCCAAGTGGTTGGTAGGCTCATCCAGCAGAAGGATATCGGGGTCCTCGAAGACGGCACGGGCAAGAGCCAGCTTCATCTTCCAACCACCGGAAAGGGAGGTGATAGGGCCCTCGAGCTGCTCCTTGAGGAAACCGAACTCCAGAAGCTTGGCCTCGACTTCGGACTGAGGGATCTCAAGACCGACCTCGCGGAGCTTCTTCATGGTCCAGCCAATGACAGTCTGCTCAGTATCGGCAGCGTCCAAGTCGTGCTCGACGTAGACGGTCTTGACCTCGGACTTCTTGGGGAAACCCTCGAGCTGCTCGTTGTTGATGGCGCGCATAAGAGTGGTCTTACCGGTACCGTTGGGACCAAGGAGACCGTAACGCTGACCACGCTTGAGGCGGAGGTTGGTCTGGTTGAGCAGGATCTTGGCACCGTAGGCCAGGGAGAAAGTGCAGTTACACAGATCCTCACCCTCCTCCTCATCGGAGAGGACGGCATCAGCCTCAGCAGCGAGGGGAGAAGCCTTCTTGCGGAGGGTCTCGACGACGCTCTTGGCATCCTCCTCACCGACGATGGCGGCAATGTAGGGCTGGGCGTTCTGGGTCCAGCTGGTGACCTCAGCGTCCTTCTCGTCAACGAGCTGACCGGCAACGGCACCGACGTAGTTGATGACAGCCTCAGCGCCCTCGGCCTGGGTGGTGTGCTTCTCCTTGAGGATGTCCTTGAGAATAGCAGCGACGGTGGAGATGTCACCGGCGGTGGAGATCTCGGGGATCTTGCCGTCCTTGACATCACCGACACGGGTAAGAGTCTCCAAGGCCTGCTTGGTCTTGCCACGGGCCTCGGGGTCGGCCAGGGTCTCGAAGTTCTTCTCGAGACGGGGCATCAACTTGGGCAAGAAAGGAGCGACGATCTGGGGATCCTCGACCAGCTTACACATGTTGTCGACGATGACAGCGGACTTACGCTTGATGGCGGTCTCACGCTCAACAAGACCACGGTCAAGCAGGGGGACCATGATAGCGAGGGTAGGTCCGGTGACATCGGAGACGAAAGTGGTGGCACCGAGCAAGTGAACGGTCTCGGAGACGTTCTCAGGCTTGGCGATACACTTGATGAGCTCAGGAATGAAACGCTCGATATCCTTGTTGACAATGAGACCGCAGACCTTCTCCATGGTGCCGTAGGCGGCCTTCTTGATCTCAGCCTTGGTGTCCCACATGGCCTCGGAGACGACGGGGATCAGATCAGGAACACGGAAAGAGAGCTGAGCGGGGGCAGATTCGACGAGAGCCTCAATGCACTCGAGAGCGGTGGCCTTCTCTTGCCACTTCTGGGCGTTCTGGAGGGAGTTGAGGATGGGGGGGAGGACGGCCTTGACAGCATTGCCGTTGATGCCCTTGACGATGGCGATAGCGGCAGCGGAGGCAGCGTTCTTGACGGGAACCATCTTGTCACCGACGGTAGCGAGAACGTCACCGAGGATGGCGACAAGGTGGGGCTCGACACCAGGAGCGATGGTGGAGTGGGAAGCAATGGCGCGGATGGCGTTGCAGGCACGCTCACGGGCGTTGGCATCCTTCTTGTTGGCGAGCTGCTTCTTGAAAGCCTCGACAGCCCTAAGTCCGGGTGGTTAGTCTGGTTCTCCCGTCTGCAGAATTTTTCGGTCTAACTCGAATGACCAGACCACGCAATGATGACGACGACGATGATACTCACTTCAGGGGCAGAACCTGCTCGGGGATGGGACCGCTGAACAGGTGAGCCAGGTTGTCGGTGGCAGCGTTGACCTCATCCTGGGAGGTGGAGAGGTTGAGGTTCTTGAGAAGGTCCTCGAGAACAGCCACGGACTGGGCAGTCTCCTTGCTGGTGGCAGCAGGAAGGGAAGAAGCGTCAGCAGCAGGCATTTTGGTCGTAAAAGGTTCCGAAGAATCGTAAGAGAAAAAAGGATAAAAAGCGAGAACGTGTGAAAAAACGTTCTAGGGTATCTCGAGAAGAGGAGGTGGTGGCCCACGAAAGATTGCGTCTGATTCACAAAAGACGCAACGCACGCTCTAAAACGGCCTCTATTTTTGTTTGTCCAACAAAGACAAAGGAGAAAAACACAAGAATTTTTAGAGGAACAAAACCTCTTTTGAAAAAAAGGGAGAGATGAAGGATGAGGGGGGAGAGAGGGAGAGAGAGAAGGAGGGAAAGGAGGGGAACAGGGTAGATTGGGGGGGTATGATATTTATCGCTTTGTGGCCTTTTTTTCGCCGCCCAACACCCGCTCAGCCATTAAAAAATTTAAAGAAAAATTTTTTCTTGTTCCTTAGAATGGGTCGCACTAGCGCCGGATATAGTTTAGGGGCAGTTTCGATAGGACTCAGCGACTCAGCAGCAGCCAACCCACTGGAGTCTGTGGCTACGACCGTGGTCAATCGACAACCCTCAATGGCTGGCCGGCGGGGGCGGTAGTGGCTGAGTCAGCCATTTCCCTGCCAACTTTCTCCTTCCCCCCACCCATTGATTCCACTTCCATATGTAAGATTCTTGCTCTGGCTCTGGTTCTGGCTGGCTCTTGCTGTTGCTATCCATTGAGTCTCTTTGCTATTGTCCGCCATCGATCCATCTATCGCCTCCTTCCTTCTCAACGGGATCCCGAAGTTTGCCTTCCGCAATTACTCATACTCATGTATACAACGAATTCTGACCGCTGATACTAAGTAATCATCACTAGTGATGAATAAGTGACAGCAAGAAACTACCAAACTCGGACTCGACTACCAGCCAACCCCACCGCAAGCACGTATCCTCATTATTTGATTCCACAAATATACGGATGTTATACAAGACCCTCGACAGGGCTGAGAATCGCGGCTCATCACGATATCCGACCCATCCTGATAATCTCCCCAGTTGTTCATGTTAGCAAGTCACTGCAATTAATCCAGCGGTATAAGGAGGGCAGGCGGCCTTAGCGCATCCCTCATACATAGTACATGTAGAAGAAAGCATAAACCCCCTCCCCGCCTCCCCTCCCTTCATGGATACTATCAAAAAGTCAAGTTCATCCCTTTCCCAGTGATGATTCCGGGGTGCAGCAATCAGTTCCTTCAAAGCTGATACGTAGCGCACATTGCGGAACGGCTGTAGGTGGTTCTCCGCCGCCGCCGTCGCCGCCCCCCCCCCTCTGCTTGCCTGGTTGGGGTCCTGCAGATGCTGCTGCTCCGAGGTCTATTTTCAGTTGCCACCCTCAGATCATTCCCGGTGGCGCAGCCCCCCATTCTAGACGGCGACGGCTCAATGGTCTTTCTTCTAAGCGGTGGCCGGGAAGAAGAAAAGAAGGTTAAGAGATTTGGGAAATGACACAACACACAGCGCAAAAAAAAAAAAAAAAAACTCTGAAACATTAGAGTTGAGATGCACCCGTGGATAGAGGCGGAAATCCGTTTTCGTGGTGTGCTTGCTCCACGACGCCATCGCGATGACTGCTTCGTTGGTACATACCGAATCTACTGCTAGACAAATATGTTTGCTCCGCCTTAAGCGAAATACATACATAGGAGGAGGATTTTGTACAATCTTGAACTGAACCAAGTTTGACAATTGAGGGGCATCTGGAGGTCAGCCTGATGCTTACTCAGACGTTGATACTCGATTGATTTTCATGTGACAGAAGCGTGCTGTTGAAAGAGCCCTAAATCTACAATCTCACCCCGGATATTTACTGCCCTTGCCAACCGTTAGAAAGTCCAGAATGGGCATCATCCCTAAAATACGAGGAATCAAAGAAAGTCAACCAGGGATAGACATATTCCCTGGCTGCTGCAACCCTTGTCTGAGACAAATGAACGCTGATGGGCGAGATGCACAACACCGCCATTTTCTGGGCTTGGAGCATCCAACTCACCGCATGAACTGTGCAGGGTTGCCCTTACTACTTTAGGTACGGTACATATAGCAGTCTACGTGCTCGGCTCGGAGTAGGTGGTTTCCACACCTACATAGCTTAGCCCTGCGGGGGTTCCCTTATCATGCTTATCGGCCATCAGAAATAAAGTTCCTATCGCTTTCTTCTCCCGATTCTCCATTATGTGGGAGCTTGCTATAACGCACTGATAATTAGAGAATGCCCCTTCATTTCATTACAGCAAGGCATTCGTTCTGTAAAGGTTACTTTGTACGTGCGTAGACAAAAAAATGTGAAAACCAAGTTCGTTTACTGGAACAAACTGTTGTAGCGAGGTTCGGTATAATGTGAACCCTAGCTTCTATGTCTCTACGCCTCTGAGACTGTTCAACGGACTATAAACATCGCAACCAGAGCAGCAGCCGTCATGCTGCGTCTTGCAATGCGCGATGAAGCCGTGCACTCGCCATAACTAGGGCAAGGGTCATGGCGGGACAATGCTCCTTAGGGAACGTCGTTGGTTTTATTCAGATGTAATAGAAGATGCCCGATAGTATTTCCATGCAGTCATACCACGCATAACTCAAGCTAACCAACACATGTCCACATGTCCTGAATGAATCAATGTTCCTATAAGCAGTCCACTATACCACCTATACAAGAAGCGCTAAACTCTAATGAATACTACCCCCAAATCACGTCCGCCCGAAACAAATCTCATTCGCAGCCCTCACCACCGCCTTCTCGCCCTCACTCATATCTGCCGTCACCTCCCAAGGACTTTCACCCAGACCCATCGCCCTTCGACCCTCGGGACTGATAGTCTCCCAGTCTAGAGCCCCCTTGAAGCCCGCCTCACCCGCGCCGCCAGCTCCAGGGAAATCCCACGGCGGGGAGTATGACAGCGCCGCCTGCCGCTGCTTGACCAGATACGCGACGTTCATCTCACACATGGGCGTGGCAGGGATGTACATGACGCTGGAGTCGCCGGACCCGCGATGCTCCCTGTCGACCGAGTGCAGCGAATCACAGTGCCAGGCGACGTAGTCGCCCGCCTGGACCTCCGGGACCGAGACCATGGTGGTCTCGAGGGCGAGGTGCGGGTGGGTGAGCGGGTTGTACTCCTGACACGCGCCCGGCACGGAGCCGGGGAAGGCGTTGTCGAGCATGGGCTGGCCGGTCTTGCCATCGAAGAAGGGCCGGAGGATGGTGTAGGCGGAGCTGTGGCGCAGCATGGGGCAGACGTGCAGGGAGCCCTCGCCCGGCGCGGTTTGCGACATGGAGAGCCAGCCCTGGAAGAAGCGCAGCATCGAGCAGGCGCCGGCGCCGTTGTAGAGGTCCATGCGGGCGGCGACGCGGTGCTTGGCGTCCCAGGGGTCGTACTCCTCCCACCGGCCGGCCAGGATGGGCGCGTAGACGCGCGCGTACTCTGGGTCCTCCCAGCGCTCGAGCGAGCCGCCATCGATGTGCGGGCCCAGCGTGAACTTGGCGTCGCCGGGCTGGCGGATGCGCAGCCGGTCCGCGTAGGTGAGCGGGTTGCGGGTCGAGATGCGCGTGCTCGCGTCCGACGAGTGCCACAGTTGCTGGAGGAAGCGCTGCGTCGTGAGCAGGTGGGCATCGCTGCGCGCCGCCGCTTGCGACGGCGTCCAGTACAGCTCGTACACCGCGGGTGAGTCGGCGGGGAAGGCTTTCACGCGCTCTTGGTTGGCCGCGATGTACTCTTGGATCTGCGTCTTCCAGGTTAGGGCTTGCGAGCGCGGGACGACCTCCCGGATGACTACGGAGCCACGGTGCCGGATCTCGGCGAGAGTGGACTCGGGAACGGTGCCGTTGACGACATCGGTGTATCTAACGGAAGGGATAATCTGGATCCAGGCGTTAGTTTTGTTGTTGTTTTCCATAAGGGGGGATATGTAGGAGATGTATGCATGCATAGAACGTACGTCGCTGCCCTTCGACTTGATCTTGTGAACTTCTTCCTCGAGACTGGAGAGAAGTCGCTTCCAGCTTTCCTTCAATGCTTCTTCGTTCTTCTCAAAGTATTGGAGTTTTAGATCGCGGAACCGCGAGGGCAAGGGCTCTGGTTTGTAGTCGGGCCGCAAGCTGGGGAACACACTGGAGATGTCGCCCGCGGCCTTGGTCATCGGCGATGCTGAGGTCGATGTCGATGCGGCGCGGGCGGTTGCCCTGGCTGTTAATCTCGATAATGTCATTTTGACCAGTAGCTTGCGTAGCTATTAGACCTCTGGGAATCGGGATAGCCCCAATGGCCAATGGCCTCTGCGGAGTATCTTATACCCCATGGGCAATTGTCGGGAAGCCCAAACCAGCGAGCGGGCCGGTTACTGCTTTGAGTAAGTTGCCGACGCCCCGCGTTCGAAGCGAGTTGAAATGGGGTATCACTGCGTCACTGTCCACTGATCCAGTCATTTCGGTGCGAGGCGACTCGTAAAACTGCCGACTGGATCCAATATGTTCGGCTAGTCATTGCTTTCGAGTGGGAGGTGATGAGGGGTTGGTGGTAGCAGCTGTCTGTACGGTCGATGCTTAGGAGAAATGAGCAGGTATAGTGGCTGTTGCAGGACTCGACCAACTGGCACTGCACCTCAATGCGATACAGCGATAGTAGTGGACTTCCTCCGACTGTGCTCCATCTGTCCGCGATAGTATTCCCCAGAGTACGGACGAAGAACCATACAAACTTGGAATGGCTCGAGTTCCTACGCATTGTGGCATAATCTTCGGTGTGACCACGATGAACTCTTCCAACTTTTGAACTCGAGGGCATTGTGTCACCATGGCGAGGAATGGCAGTTGTCTAACCCACCTACAATCTATGAATGGGCGAAGGGAACCATGATAAGGAGAAGTGAGTGCAACTGCAGAAATTGGGTGTATATGCTGCTATGCTCTGTTGTACAACGCTGCACAAAGCCGGCTAGTGAGTGCGTCGTAAGGTGCGTGTGTATAGGGCTGCCCTCATTCATTTGACAACGCCTCATAAATTCAGAGATCGAGGGCTGGGATCACCAACTGCCCCCGTGACGCAATCGGTAGCGTGCAAGCCTTCTAAGCTTGAAGTTGCGAGTTCGAGCCTCGCCGGGGGCTGTTATTTTGGTTGTTCCTTGTGTGAAGGATAGTGATAGTAATGAGCCTTTTTCTTTTTGCTTCGCTTAGAATTTTGTCCAACTTTAAATCTCGGATTTCGCAAACCTAATTGCCATCCTATCAGGATGGATATCCTACGATGAGAAATCCCAAATGATGACCAAGCTTAGTGTAGGACCATGCAGCTAATAGGGCTGGCCCTTTCACAACAACAGCCCCCGTGACGCAATGGTAGCGTGCCAGACTTCTAATCTGGAAGTTGCGAGTTCGAGCCTCGCCGGGGGCTTCTCCCCACCTTTTTGGTGCCTGTCCTATCATCATGGTCATCTTATCCCACATGCTATGAATCCTAGGCTTCATAGATGTGATCCCTCCCTCTCTTTTCTTTTATTGTTTTCAAGTTATCGTTGCTCACGGGACGGTCTTGTGCAACCATGGCTGAACATCCATTCGCGCGAAGGCTATACTGACCACGCTCTTCCACTTAACCCGACGCACCATGATACACGATACTCACTCTTGCGGACCACCAGACCCAGTCGATTTCCCCTCATCGGTCTTTGTCCGGGTCCAGGTCAGCTTCGTCGAATCTCCTTCCCTCGGTCCACAATGTTGAATGCGGGTAACAACACCCCGAACCTTCGGATTGATACTGCCCGAACGAGGTATAAAGAAGACATAAGTCCATGTGGCACGGCGATAATAGCGCCCATTTCTGTCGCTTCTATACCCAACTTCCATACATTATGTCCTTCTCTGTGAAGGGACGCTCTGCCATCGTCACGGGAGCAGGCTCCGGTGCGTCAACACTCCTTCACTAATTCCAGGCGGCTGCTACGCGAATAAAGGCATGTCACTGATATATCTAATGTAGGAATTAACCTCTCCTTTGCGAAACTTCTACTTGAGAATGGGTGCGGCGTTCTCATTGCCGACCTAGGGCTGCGCCCCGAAGCACAGTCGCTGGTGAATCAGTACGCGGCCTCCTCCAATGGGCCCCGTGCTGTCTTCCAGAAGACTGACGTGACCGACTGGAAGCAACTGGAGCATATGTTTGAAGTAGCAGAGAAGGAATTCGGGGAAGTGGACATCGCCTGCCCCGGGGCAGGGATCTACGAGCCTGTATGTGCACCCCGTAAAACCCCCCGAAGAAGCAAGGGATGTTTAGCTTATGGCCTGTCTCGCATGCAGCATTGGACCAACTTCTGGCGACCCCCGGGAACGCCAGAGAGTCGAGATCCACGAGATGGGGGCCGGTACGCCTTGCTCGATATCAACCTGACCCATCCCATCCGCACGACGCAGCTAGCCATCGCGCACTTCCTCCGCAAGGGCAGCACCAGCAGCAACCAACGCCGCAAACACATCGTTCACATTTCCAGCATTGCCGGGCAGAATCCTGCTCTGGCAACCCCAATCTACGTAGCCACCAAGCATGCGATCAATGGCCTGGTCCGGTCCCTGGCCAAGCTCGACCAGAAATGCGGGATCCGCGTCACGGCGGTGGCTCCCGGGGTGATCAAGACGCCGCTCTGGACGGACCACCCCGAAAAGATCAAGATCGTCGACGCCAAAGCCGATGAGTGGGTGACCCCCGAGGAAGTGGCTCAGGTCATGCTGGCGCTGATCCAGCAAGATCAAGTTGGCGAGATCATTGGGGATCAGACAGGTCAGGGTCCTCAGTTTATGGTTAGTGGAGGAACGATTCTGGAGGTCTCCAAGACCGTGCGTTCGGTTAGTGCCTTTAATGATCCCGGCCCCGGTCAGCGGCCCGGAAATACGGTGTCGGACGCCAATAAGCTGGAGGATGAGGTATATGATTTGCTGTCGCAGCAGGGTTGGGGAAAGCCGAAGCTGTAGATTTTATTTTCATTGCTGTAGGGAAGCAGTCATAGTGAGATTGTGCTGCCAACGAAGAATGAAGAAAAGAATGAAAAAAATAATTGAAAAAAAAGAGTATCAAGTGGATCTATTATAGGTGTATGTCCATCGCATTTCTTAACCCATTTGAGATAAAAAGAGGGGAAGGGGGAGGGGGGAGGGAAAAAGGCGGAGAAGAGCGGCAAGGGAAGGTGTCTGACTAAGGAAGCTAAATTGGGAAAGATACGAAGAACCGTGACCATGACCGACCACAATCCAATCTCTCTCCCTCCAACTTATCTCCGCCCCTCTTGACTCGTTCGTTACTCTCCTCGCTCCTCTCCCTCCCTCGTCTTTCTCTATTTCAAGAACACCACCTCGACACTCTTGTCCTCCCCTTTTCCCTCTCTCTTCTTCTCTCCTGCCTGCTGTCGCAAGTTCAAGTGGCCTTGGACCTCATAGTATGCCGGGTTGACCCACCCCGGGATTCTCCTGTCGTGTGGCCACCTCTTATCAATCAATCACTTTCTCACTAAACCTCAACTTGTGCCGCCAACATGATGGACGATGAGGCTTCCGTTGGGGTGGTTTCACCCAGAAGTACGTCTCGAAGGTAGAAACTCCCTTTTTCTCCGCACCTGCTTTTTTCTCCGGCGCTTCTTATCGCTGACGGTTTATTGTTGCAGGCGTGGCGGGAGAGGGAAACGAAGCGCCGGACACCATGGCGACGCCAGTTGGATTAGTTGCGTGATCAATCTGGTCAACACTAGTGAGTTGGAACAATCCACAATCAATGGATTCTCTATATTGGCGTTTTTTTCTGATGGGATAAACTCCGGTAGTCATTGGCGCCGGTGTCCTAGCCATGCCACTCGCGATCTCGCACATGGGCATCGTACTCGGTGTCTTTGTCATTTTATGGTCGGGAATGGCAGCAGGATTCGGTCTATATCTTCAGTCTCAATGTGCACGATACCTGGAGCGCGGAACCGCTTCGTTCTTCGCCTTGTCGCAGCTCACATACCCCAATGCGGCCGTTATCTTCGATGCCGCGATCGCGATTAAATGCTTTGGAGTCGGAGTCAGCTATCTTATCATTATCGGAGATCTGATGCCGGGGGTGGTTCAGGGTTTCGTGGGGGGTTCTCCGGATTACGACTTTCTGGTAGACCGTCATTTTTGGGTAACAGCCTTCATGTACGTCTCCCCATGGGGATTAATACTGGGACTATCCTAATGTGTCCTACTTTTTCAGGTTGATTGTCATTCCTCTCTCCTACCTCCGACGCTTGGACTCGCTCAAATATACGAGTATTGCCGCACTCGTCTCCATGGCATATTTGGTTGTATTGGTTGTCTACCATTTCGTGATCGGAGACACAACCACTGATCGGGGTCCTATTCGCGTGATACACTGGGCAGGCCCTGTTCCCACGCTCAGCAGTCTTCCTGTCATTGTCTTTGCCTTTACATGCCATCAAAATGTATGATGCCTTCCAGCGTGATGCGTCATTAGAGCATTGCTGACTAGTGCAACAGATGTTCTCGATCTTGAACGAGATCAGCAACAACAGCCATTTCCGAACTACCGGAGTCGTCTTCTCTAGCATCGGTAGCGCCGCTGCGACTTATATTCTTGTGGCTATCACCGGCTACCTTTCGTTTGGAAACAGCGTTGCTGGGAATATCGTTGGCATGTACCCGCCAGGCCTCTATGCTACGATCGGCCGTGCCGCCATTGTCATGCTTGTCATGTTTTCCTATCCGCTCCAATGCCACCCGTGTCGGGCGTCTGTCGATGCGGTACTGCGCTGGAGACCCAAGCCCGCGGGCTCCAGTGACAGCTCGCCCCACCGGCATCCACTTTTGGGGTCGAGAGGCAACCGTGCCCCTGAGCCAATGAGTGACCTCCGATTCTCCATCATCACCACCACTATTCTCGTGTTGAGCTACATCGTTGCCATGACCGTGTCATCGCTCGAAGCCGTGCTTGCTTATGTCGGCAGCACCGGCAGTACCAGCATCAGTTTTATTCTTCCAGGTCTATTCTACTACAAGATCTCTTCTCCTGACTCGCCGCACCATCAACGCTTGATGAAGGAAGACGACGAGGCGGGCGATGCGATCATGTCTGACGGCAATGATGACGATGAGGACATCGAAACCTCGCAAACCCGTCCGCTGACGGAGAGTGGTATCCTTCGCCGCGGCACTCGTCAATGGCGCAGAGCACTATTGCGCAAGCTGAGTCTGGGTCTTGTGATCTACGGAGTCCTGGTCATGGTCGTGTGTCTTATCACGAATTCAGTCTTTCTTGCCTCTCATTAGCACTCAAGGCAGGCCTACGCAGAGCCAAGCTAGGCTTGACTTTGGATTCCCTTTCATCCTCTACCAACCTCTGTCAATCTTTTCTCTCTTTCCCTTACTTAATTTCTTCCCTTTTCCTATTTTATCTCAATTTCAATCTCAGTTCCATTTGGTTTTTTTTGTCTTCCATTACCCCCCACCCCCCCCTTATCCCCCACTTTCCTTCCGCATTGCGTGCAGGTTTATTAGAGCTGGGGTCTTGATTCAGGATTACAGTTGATTGGAACTATATCACTATACCACGGCACCGGCGTTTCAGGGGAACTCTTGTCTCTTGTTCATGCGTTTGTTAGACATCTACGCATTTTCTTTTATTTGAATTGATTTCCATTGGGATATACCAGAGTCGGGATTGGGATTTTAACTCAGAGAATCAGAAATACACATACAAAACAATCAATTCAGAGTTCGCAGATGGTTACTTTTTTTTTGTCTTCACTTATGACCATTGAGTTCATCCTTGCCCCCCCCCCCCCCTTTTAGGGGATCCCTCTCCCACTGCATCTCCCTGTAGACTCCAGATTAGAAGTGGGACTTGACAACCCAATGCATGAAGTAGAACAAGGTCAGCGACTACCTAACCCTTCCTGGACACTTAGAATACAACAGCTTGGCTCCGAGACCCACTTGGGGAAGCAACTAAACCAATAACCAAGCAATTTAATTGGATCTGTTCTAAATACTTACTAATCCCACAAGTATAACTATGCTCTCTCTTCAATATGGATAGATACTGTCTTTTCTGACTGTACCATTCGCATCCCTGATTTGCCTAGGTAGGTACTGTACCAACAGACCGTGGAGTCGCGCGTTGCTTCTATTGTAAAACAGCTCCATACAAACACCCGTCTTCGACAAACCTTTTGTTTAAAGGGCGACATCACTTTCGAAAATCACGCCAATACTTTGACTGACGAGTCGAATATAGTTGGTTCTCTGAGCCTGTCCCAAAGACCACCACGTCGGTCCGACCGCTTAGCTGCGAAATCCAGGGCTGATCCCTCAGCACAGCCGCTCCGGGAAGGCCAGAAAGATACACGGACTTCTCGACTTCGAGCAGATCAGTTCTGTGTGTACAACAAGGGCCCGGAAGAGAAGGTTCCGGCCTTTATCGTTGAATACAAAGCACCCCACAAGGTTTCTCTAGCTCACATCAAGGCTGGCCTGCAAGATATGGACCTTGATGAAGTCCTTCGTCTGCCAAAGGAGTCACCGGAGCAAACCTGCCGTCGCATTGTGGCATCAATCATCACTCAAACATCCTCCTATATGATTCTTTGTGGGGTAGAGTTCGGCCTGGCCTCTACTGGTGAGGCGTATATATATCTTCGCATCCCGGAAAACGACCCTTCTACCGTTTACTACTACCTTTCCGTGCCGAAGGAGGGCGTCGGACCGACTACAGGATGGACAGGAGATCTAAAGGACAATAATAGACTGCATCTAACTGCGCTGGGCTAAATGTCGGCTCTTACTGTTCGCTCTTTGCAAGTGCCAGTCCGAGATGTCGCTTGGGTTACTTGGACATCAAGTACATTACAGATCTGGGAGATGGTATATGATGAGATTCTAGAGGAGATTCTAGAGGAGGACAGCTCTACTTCTGAGTTTAAACCACCGTCTCGAAGTCGTTTGGAATACCGCCGTGTATCCCCCGTCAAAACCAGATCCAGATTTGCGGTTGTTGCGGCCTGCAGGCCTTCGACACTCATGATGGCTATGATCCCGACACGCCTAGTCGACGGCAACCTCGAGGGTCCCGTCTTCCTCCCCCATCTTCACCGACCGTACAGAAAACGCAAACCTCACGCTCCCAAGGGAAGTCACGGCAGTATTGCACACAAGTGTGCCTTCTAGGCCGGGTTCGAGGTGGGAAATTGGATCGCAACTGCCCAAATGTACTCGGCCACGGGACTGATCACCATCGATTGAACCAAACCACGCTTATCCGACAGCTCAACCAGCAGCTCTCTCCCAAGAAACTACAGCCTGATACAAAATTGGGGTGCGAATCGCTGCACGTACACGGGACGCGTGGGGGCGCTCTTTAAAATCACTCTCTGGTCTCCCGGTTATACTTTTGTCGGAAAAGGCGCACCGAGAGAATTTGTGGACGGCATCAAGCGCGAGAGGCTCACACGTATTCACGTCTTGCCCCAATCCAAGGGACGGTCGTGCCCGTCAATTCCTTGGCAGCTTGGCACTTCGCCGCCCGCTCTCTTACGATGGCATTGTTGAGATTGTTCATATGATGTTTATGGGAATTTGCTGGAAGGACTCTAGCCCGTCAGCATGCGCTCGATCGCTGCCAGATGATCCAACAAGCCGAGAGACCTCACTGCCCAAACTCCATATCTTAGGGGTGCTTCTATGGCGATCGATCCCATCCCGGGATATATGACCGGGAACGAACACACCCGCTGCGTGATGTTCATCGACTTTGAGCGCTCCGTGGCTACAAGATCCACGCCGAATGCCACTGGGTCTCCGTGGGAATCCCACGCGCAAACGGGAGGAGGCCCCGCGGGCCCTTGGAGAAGAAGAGTCCGACCACCCAGCTGGACTGTTTTGAGCGGGAGAAAAGGCGCATGGTCAACGGGCTATAATGATATGCGCTCCGTAGGCCCTCTCCCCAAATACCCATTTGGAATGATTTTACTCCGTAGTCTGCTTTGGAGGGGGCAAAGAAGCCCTAGGTAATTCCCATCAATCCTCCCCGTGTAACCCACCCCCTAAGAGGGGGAAACAGGTGAACGAAGTTCCTCTTTCCGGCATACACATCCATTGTCTCTTGGGGGCCCCAGTACAATTCGAAGCCGCGATATCCAAACCAGCTTGGGCTGAGAATGAGATTGTTCTTTGCTCCGGCCCGCCCGCGCTCCAATTGCTCGAAGCGAAAGCCATGGTTTTATTTAGGTTGGTACATATCCGGGTTGCTCGCCAGGATTTTTTTCTCCGCTGATTTTCGTTTCTCGTATAGTATAAGTAACCCACACCCCCAAGGCATTGTTGTCTCCCCCCAGATTCCGTCGGTTGTTGTTATTTTGTAATCCAACAAGATCCTACCCGGGCACTAGTTATCACGCTGTTGGCTGCAGATACTACACGTCTTGGCAAGTTGGGAGGTTGGAAGAAATCTACGTGTCCAAGGGAGGGAAGGTAACTCAAGAAGCACAACCTGGCCTGGCATTCTAGACCATATCTGATTTACAAATGTGAATTAAAAAGGGGGAACCGGTACACATGACTTGAAGAGCAGAAAATGCTGGGTGCATGTAAAAGAAACAAGACTGCTAATTCATGATTTCGAGATTGGGCGAACGCGGAAATGAACTGTGTCCAGAGCATGAGCCACAGGGGCAGAGATGGAATTAGGTAAGAGGTTTAGAGAAATACGACGGCGCAACTCTGGTCGGGGAGAGACGGAAGGCAAACAACAAGATCAAGAAACTCCATGGATCGTTAATGTGATTTGGCAATCTTGTTTGGTATTGGTGTAATAGCTTTATGGTTTCTTTTCCTTGGTGTTGTTTGGGGGTGAGTCATGGAAGTGGGATTGAGGAACGGGAACGGGAACAGGAACCGGGGGGAGGGGGGAGGTAGTGATAAGTAGCTAGCTGTAGTAAGCCTAAGCCCAAGCCTAGGGGACCTGCTTGCGCGGATCAAGCCAGAACTCGACCCGAGCTTAGTTATTGCTCTGGCTGTTCAAGATGCGCAGGATGGCGAGGAACAAGTTCAAGATGTCGAGGTAGAGGGAGATGGAGGCGGCGATCTCCTCCTCGACGTGGTAGTGGCGCATGACGAGCTGGGTGTCGACGAGGATGTAGCCGGCGAAGACGAGGGCGGCGACGCCGCCGTAGACGAGCTCGACGGTGCTGTTGCCGGGGAAGAACATGGCCATGAAGCCGAAGAGGATCAAGAACCACAGCGCGCCGAACAGGTAGGGCATCCAGTGCGTGAAGTCGTACTTGGTCTGGCACGCGAACAGCGTCAGGGCGACGAACAGGCCCAGCGTGATCACCAGCGCCTGCAGCACGATCCGGCTCTCGTACAGCGAGGTCACCACGCTGATCGAGTAGGCCTCCATGATCGTGAAGCCCGACAGGAACAGCAAGTTGGCCGGGTACGACTTGCGCTTCCAGTAGGTCACCAGCATAAAGCCCAGCGCCCCGAACACCGACAGGATCATCACCCAGAAGTTGGACTGGATCCAGTTCCGGTAGCTGGGGCTGAAGAAGGAGATCGAGCTCATCACCGTCGTGAGGAGGAGTTGCACCGTCCTGAAGTTTTGAGAAAAGTGTTAGGGTCGTAAACACATACAGCTGGCTACACTCCGGTTCGAGGTATGTCGGGAGAGACACTCACAGAATCGCATAGACCTTGCGGATGAACTGCATACGAATGGGCAGGGTGCCCTCCGCCACAGTGCCGCCGAACTGCATCACATACTGTCAGTCTAGATCTAGAAGAGTGCGGGACGGAAGCTTTACCTTGAAGTCATCGGGAACATTATCGTCTTCGCTGCGAGGCGCCGCCTGCGTGTAATCGGCCGTTGCCTGATAAGAGGGCGGGGGCTGAGTGTAAGCACGCTCTTCAAAAGAGTCGCGCTGCGGCGCGGGCTCATATCTAGTATTGGCAGCCATATTTCTCTCAGGGTAGCTTCTATGGAGTAGTGGGAAGACCAATCCAGAGAGAACGAGATGGTTAATGCTTTAAATCTCACGGCTGACAGGAAGACGGGGGGGCGAAGTGAAGTGGAGAGAGAAGGGTCGAGAACGCGGGCGGAGATACCGCCTTTCGGGAGCCGCGTGACGTCGTTCCGTCACCTGATTCTCTTTATCGCTCTCCTGAGCCTTAGGCAGAACATTTACTCTTCAACTACAAGGCACGGATTCGCAGCATCGTAAAATATGATCATCTGTTATATGCGATATTATGTATAAATTCTATCCTCTAATATATGCCATGAATGCAGATATCCTATCGCTAGGACTTGAATGCGCGGCCCCGACCAGCTCAGAGGCTGTTACTCCCGGTCGTCGTCATCATCTCGATACTCCTCCACTATCACATTTCCACCCTCGGACGACGGCCGCGAGCCTTCTTCCTCATCTGTACTATCTTCCGGCGTATCCAGGCCCTCCCGGGTTATCGAAGCGCTATGCAACTCGCCAGGACGCCTCTTACGCTGGAAGTCTTGGGCGTGGGCCGCAGCCAACAAGGTACCAACCCGGGCAAGACCACGGGGGCTCCGGACAGACAAGCCTGGAGTGGGTGGGGTTCCTTGCTCGGCGTCGCCAATGGTAGGCACGGGCGCCAGAGGTTGATGGTCTTGAAGCTGCATAGCCTCCTCTGGCTGAGCCATCGGGGCCTGTGGTTTGGGAACTTCGTATGGGAGGGGAACATCCCTGGATGCTCGGAAGAGAAGAACGTTGGTGCAGTGTTCGTTCTCCACACGGAAGATCGTCCACACCCCTCTGCGGCCTACCTCTGAAAGTGCAACAGCGAAACTGAGGACAGCCGAATGCTGAATGTCTTTGCGGAAAATCGCATAGAAGATCCAGTTGAAGCGGACCACGACATCGATGACCATCCCAACATAATACACCCACGGCTTCCGGAAGGCGAGCACCTCGCGAAGCATTGGGTTCTTCGCGTGAGGGTTTCCGAGACTCCAATCCATGGCGAGATCCCAAACGGAGCAGTAGACAGCATTCAGCAACGCAAACGTGATGAACGGCGCCTCAAAGCTCGAGACCTTGTCGATACGGTAGAGACTCAGGGTACAATAGTAGAGGACAGTGAACATGTATTTGCCGAAGTTGAGCAAGTGAGGAAAGGCGTTCCTCGTGTCGGCATATCGACGTAAGCACTGAAGAGCTCTCCAGATTCCTGGAAGGCACGTGAAGAACCCCAGCAAGCGGGAGTGAGAGGAGTTACACTGCTGAGGGTCACTCCAGTGTTTCGCATAGAGACAGAAGAACAATTCAATATTCTAAGATCGATCAACAACCACTGCCAGAGTTCGTGCAACAATAGAGTGATACTCACGCCCATGGCGTACGTCTGCGAGCAGTACATATCACCGAGAAAGAAGTCACGAAATTCGACGGGGTATAAACCAGCCAACAAAAGTCGCCACTACCATGCGTAGTTAGTTTCAGCTGCGGTATGTCAACTAGAGCACTACTCACATTGGAATATGCCCACCACTTTCGACTGTGGTGGTATAATGTGCGCACTGGCAAGAACAGAACTATCACCGTCACACCTATCAGAACGACAGGCCAATAGATATATGCGTCGTTGATCATCATGAAGTTCAGCCACATGAAGAGACCTAGTATGAACAAGAAGAAACTCGGTAACTGCAGTCGCGTCAATATCAGGCAATCCACATGACGAGATAGAAGTTCTGACCTCAGTTAACTGCCGCCAGTCTAATGCGTGTCTGGTGTCGAACTCGAAAACGAAGACGTAGTTTATCTTGGCCTTCGTCCAGACCATGCAGTCCAAGCAGAATAGGAGAAAATGCAGAACGATGAGGAAATAACCACCGTAGATCTATCGCCGTTAAATAACCCAAGAACTCGCGTACTGGGCATGCAAGACTAACCTGGAGCAAGTAGCTTGTATTTAGCTTCACGTCGGAATCGTCATTATCCAAGTTACGGCTAGCATAAACCAATGCCTGGGCTGCAAACAGGATGCCAGCCATCAACAGGAGACCAGAACGGAATGTGTTCGGCGAGTAGTCTCCAGCCTTGTTGACTGTATGGCGCAGCTTCGAGGCGGCAATCTTGCGGTTCCCGCGCTCAAAATAACGTGCGTAGAGGTCCTCTGCCGCCGACAACAAATGCTCCGTAACCTCACTCTGAACGAACCACGCCTTATTGACCTTCTCAGAGAGGTATCGCATCGGGGGGTGCGCATTGACAACCTTGTCATATTTCTTGTTAATTTTCCGGAAAGCGGTCCGGTTCAAATAGGCGTATGCCTTCAACAACTCCACGCCACGATAGAATTCTTGAAGCGCATGTTTAAGCTTTCTCTTGGCGGAGCGATACGGAACCTCGGCGTTGTTGGACTCTTCCGGCCGTCGTGCGAAATCTCTCCGCGTGATGGTGTTCGGTAGGTCTTGCGCTTGTCCGACCGGGGTTGCCAACTCTGCCAGGGCCTTCGAATTTTTCCCAAAATGACGTCCCGGGAAAGCATCCTTGATTTTGGCGAATCCGCCAAAGCCGTTTGCCTGCGCGTTGTCCTTCTTGATTCCACCGCTTTTCGTTTTCCCAAGCACTTCTTGGGTGCGCTGGTCCCGCATGATATGCAGCTGGCTTCGGAGCACCTTCAAACGCTCCGCCGCTTCTTGTTCTTTCATCTGATAGAACGAATCTATCTTGGCTAGCTCGCCATCAAGGAAAGCGAAGAACTCATCCTGCCGCTTGGCAATCTCCGATGTCGACGTATCAGTGGTGTCGCGCTTCTCGGGGGCATTCCAATCCTGGTAAGACAGCACCCGCTGCAGTAGGGAGCCTCTACGGTTCGACGGGCCTGCACCCGTGTTCCTCTTATAATCCTTTATACCACCGGCAGCGGGTTGTGGCGTCGAGGGGCTCCGGCGCGATCTGGCAGGCGTAGCTGGTCGCAAGCTATCGTATCGCGATAAAATCGGAGACGGGCTTTCGGGACGGTGGTCGTCTGTATCATCCTCTCTTTCTGGCGACGAGAACTCAACCTCCTTAGGATCGATTGCTGGATCCGGCAACCGCAGCGAGGCCACATCCGACGAAGCAGCCTGCTGTGATGGCGGTGTGGCGACAATACTGCCATACGTGCCGACCACGCCCGAGAAGCGCGATCCAGGGGCCCGGAGGGGCTGACGTTCACTGCGCGCCGACGTTGAGCGTGGTGTCAAGCCATTACTTCGCACCGGCGTGGAGGGAACCTGGAGGGTGTCCTGGGGCAAATCGTGTCGGATTTCGCTTCGAAACGACGAGCGCGGATCCGAACTCAGCAGGCGATCGGACTGGTCATGTTGGGGGTAGGAGAAATTGCGGATGGACGGATGGCTAGGGCTGCGATTGGCTTTCTGTAGGGCGCGCGAGATGGCTTTGACTTTCTTTTTGCCGGTCTGTCGTCCCCCAGCGTCACACAATGATGAGAATCGGAACCACAAGCCCCCCCGCGTATGGGAGCAAGCACTGGGGAAGCACCAACCTTGTAGTCGAGATATTTAGCTCGCCATTCTGGAACTAATTCCTGTTCCAGCTCCCTGTCGCCAATGACTGGGTCAGCAACGCCTCACAGAAAACAAGCATTCCGGAGCAATGGTGGGTTGGGTGAGAGTGGGACACACTTGGCGAATTTCATGCTGGGAAGGCAAAGGCATGAGCGAGCATAATACGGTTAACAAAAAAATTACAGCAGATACCCAGGAGGATTTATGACGCAGAAAGTGCCATCACAGTGGCAACAAGATGAAGCAGAAGAATGGTGGAGCAAGTTGACAGGGAATCTGGTCTCCGAGGATCAATCGATAAGGGCTCCAATAGTTCGTAGGCTTCGTAATCTCATTGCTCAGGGCGATTGGAAAGTAGCTCAAGACAACGATCAGTTCATTCTTGGGCCGAGAAGGTAGAACAAGCACACGATTCTCCAATATAGGACGAGGGGAAAGAGGAGAGGGGAGTAAAGAGACAGAGTAAAAGGAAAAAAAAATAGAAGATAGAAATAGAATGTCACAGTGGAACGGAGGGCGGAGGTAGAAGCAGATAAGAATGGAAGAAGGAAAATACGAGTAAGTTCAAATGTGGAAAAACTAGAAGTAAAAATGCGAGAAATAGGTCAAAAGCGAGACCAGAGGCAAGCTACCACAGGTTCACTAACGCCCGTCATAGCGAGACAACTGACAGACAGACAGATAGACCGACAGAGAGCGAAGCGAGCAAGATACCTGATTTCATGGATCAAAATTGGTGAGGAACGAGTGAACCTTCTTTCTTGCCTGAATTGAGCGTCTATCGTAGCCTGATAGGCCCGGGTTTATGCACGTGCAGCAGCCGATGAGCTCATTTGCAGGAGCCTTGGCAGGGCGGTGAGTGGCCAACATCAGTCATTGGCTGCTCTGTCATACCGGACAAAGTATCCCCATAAAGTAAGAGTTTTGCCGCGCATACACGGTGGTTGCCGCTCGTATACTCCCTCTCCACTACTTACAGTCCCATGGATGTCCCAGACAGCTTCGCATTTTGTTCCTCATAATTGGAATTCCCTTGTCAGGGCCCTTTGGGGAGATTCATTGAATCGGTCAACATACGACAACAAAAACAAAAAAAAGGGTTCCCAGAGTGGAATTGAGGACCCGGAAAAGCTATCCCAAAACTGCCCCTCTCTTCCGCAGGAAACTATCTATCCTCACACAGGAACCGAAAATAGGCGCACACACTCTTCCCGACGATCCTTGCTTGCCGTCAGTCGCAATCACTCCGTGATAATCCGCGTTACTTGCCCGATTGGGTGGAATCCTGCATACTGGCCATGCAGTTTGCGGTGGGCGTTTCAGCCTGCCCAGCGCTCAGCGTTTGACCTTCATAACTCTTGCATCGGGTTGTGATTCATCATTACGACTGTTTTGTTTTGGTTTCTACTCTTCCAGACCTACTCTCATGATTCGATGATAGCTCACCTGACTCTCCACCATATCGGACAGATCATATATGCGCGAGAGGGCTCGAATCCACAGGCCACGTCGCATGCAGAGGACCACGATTCAGGATCAGAAACAAAAAACAATTATGAGGAATATTTTTCATTGGGAACACAAATCATCGGTATCATATCAACACACCCCCGGTCGACAAGTTCAGATCCAGTCTATCCCTTATCGCACTAGAGCTTAGTACCAGCCACGGCCTTTACCACCGGCCCTGGTCAGGGAAGCGGCCCTCGTCACGGAAGTGGGGGTGAGGAGGAAGGCGAGGGTCGTATTCGGGAGCGCCGTGACCGCGCTCGTAGTGCTCCTCGTACATCTGGTGGGCGTTCTCCTGGGCGTGCTTCTTGGCACGGATCTTGTCGACCTCATCCATACCCTTGGTCTCGGCAAGTCTGTCGATCTGAGAACCGACGATACCAGCAAGAAGCTCCTTGGCGAAAGCGTGGCTAACGGGCTTGCCTGGTGGATATCATGGCGGTTAGCGTGGCTGTCTGACACAGGGAAGGGGGATGTAGTGAGACGGGAGACAATGCATACCCTCCTTGCGCTGGTGGTCCTCGAAGAGCTTCATGCCCTCGAAGGAAGCGGCACCGGCCAGAAGCTCGTGGGAGAACTTGGCCTCGTGGTGCTGCTCGCCGTTGTAGACCTGACGGTGAGCCTCGTTGGAATCGTCTGCAAGGCAAACGTGGTTAGTTGTGTTACAAACATGTCCGTCTGATGCGGGTTACGGAAGTCAAACTGGGCAAGCAACGGGACAGGGATAATCCCGCGATGCATCCAGATGAGGGTCAGCAGCTGTGCATAGGAGTAACTTACCCCAGCCCCAAGCCATTGTGATTGATGTAATGTGTGAAGAGGTTGTTTGAAAAGGAGGAAAGATGGTGTGAGTGAATGGAGAGAGAAAAAGAAAGGCAAGAAGCAGGACGATGGACGCCTTATATACAGCCAGCTGTGCCTCAGCCAACCCACCTCAGCCAATTCAGCTCTCGTCGGCTAGGTACCCCTCCGCGCCCCCTGACCCACTGCTGTCGTGAAGACTAGAATAGCTGCAAGTCTGCAAAACTCTCAATGCCTTGTGGGGGAAGGGGTCATTGGCTGAATGGCGATGCTTTGGTGTGGCCCCTCCAAGGTGGGGTGGATGGAAAGGCAGATCACTCCCAGTCGTTGGTCCCCGCGCCACGTTGGTCATCATTTCACAAATTCACCTCAGCGCCTCGGAGGGGCAGCGTAAGCATAGCAGCTTTAGTGCCGCCTGTGTGTGTAAGCGCTTCTCTGAAGGCTGTCTGAAAGAATCATGCTATTGGCTGCATCGGACAGCATACAGTCAGTCCGGAGGGGTCGGATCGCATGGAGTGAGCCTCCCGGGTTACTAGGTACGGAGGTACACTGTGCTCGGAAATCCGCCAGGGGTACTTTCCGTACAGCTGAGGACACGGTGGGCTTGTTTGTGAGCTGAAACATGGGTCCCAATGATAGGAGGCCGAGGGGTACAACAATGGCGTAGCCTAGACAATAGACAGTCGCCAGAGAAGAGGGGCGGACAGGATCATGACCCCTCCTCGTCCGTTGGTTCCGCCTGCGCCTCTGAAAATAGAGAGAGAGATGGCCATTGCTAATGCGGGACTAGCTGACTGATTCGCAGGATTTCACTTTTCCAGGCCCTTCTTGTGTGCCTACGTTCTAGGGAATAGCGATTATCAAGGATCATCGCCTCGAAAATACGTACGTGTCCCATAACTCCCACGATTCCCATGGGTAGGACGGGCGACACCGCTGGGGGGCCAAGATGCAGATGGGGATTGCCTCAGCCTTAAACTCTGGGTGAGTTCCATCTGGCTGTGGATTTAGCGCCTCGGCCACAACACTCGCCCGGGCTTGGCGAGGGTTGAGGACGAAAGCCGGCTGAACCGAAGGAACATTGTGCGCCAAGAAGCTCTTGTCAAGGCTTATCCTCTGCCCTATCTTGTGCAACTCGAATGGCCCAAGTCAAGAGCTGACCTGGATATTAGATCTAATCTTCCCCAGATCTACTCATATGCAGATTAGGCTGGTACGTAGTGTCTGGCCTGGCCTGGCGGGTAAATCTGAAAATGTCATGTTTTTCGGGCACGCGCAATGCTGCACGAAGTGGAGCATGCTCGGGGTTAATGGTTGGCTATGCGAGGTGCGAAAGTGATCGTTATCCCCACAGCTACTTGCCCGATTGATTCTACCGAAGGCTCCGCAATGTTCGATAGCCTGAGACCGGAAGTCCTGTAGCGTCCTTTCGGAGTTCGTGTCAGTCGGCTGTGATGACCTCTGAATCAGTGGCTTAGGGGGGGGGGGGGCTAATGTGTGGCAGTGTCAGAATGTGGCTTGGGTCCAGTGGATGAGGCGAGGAGAGGAAAGACATTACGTACTGCTTCAGCTGGAGAATGTGCATCATGTCCATCATTGTTACAGTCGGAGCACAGTTGTCCAGATGGTCGCTCTTGGCCTCGTTTCAGTGTGCATGGGATGGGGACGTCATGCCATGCCAGACAGGAGCCGTATCGAGCATGGAGAATCAACGATCATTCTCCGTTCCATCATGTCATTGTTCGATAGTCGGTCAGGTCATGATAGACCGGTCATGGGAAACCTGCGATGACACGCTGCGATCAACTGCGAGTGTGAGCATGAGTATGAGCATGTTGAATGAACACCTCGTGTCATAATGCAAATAACCTCTTGCATGACGACAGTAAACAGTAGCGCAGCAGCAGCAGCGCAGCATATGCAGGACAGCGAGCCGACTAATCCGAAAGCGGCAATTAAGTTACCTGCCCGCCCGCTGCCCGGCGCAGACATGAGCTTTCCGCTGCAAGCTCGGGGCAGCCATTCCCTTCCCTCTCCTCCCCTCCATCAAACACCTCCAGCTCAATCCACACAATCACATCACCCTACCACAAACCACCACCAACAAGCAAACAATTTCTAGAGCAAACAAACAAACAAGCAAATAGGGGGGAAAACATCACAAACCACAATGACCAACCCCCACCCACGCGCCCCCCAACCCACCGACTTCCCCTCCCACCTCACCCTAACAATCACGCCCCCGACGCCCCCCAGCACCTCCCAAAAATCCCCCAACATCCTCCTGCTGCTGCACGGCCTCGGCGACACCGCCGCCAACTTCACCGCCTTCGCGCGCGCCCTCCACCTCCCCGAAACCACCATCCTCACCCTCCAAGCCCCGCAGCCCCTCCCCTTCGACCTGGGCGGCTACCACTGGGGCGACGACGTGACCTTCACGCCGGCGGGGGAGCTGGACATGGACGCCGGGTTCACGCGGGCGATGCGCCTGATCGTCCACGAGGTGATTGCGGGGGTCCTGGTCCGGAAGTGCGGGTATCGGTGGCGGGATGTGTTGGTGTTTGGTTTGGGGCAGGGCGGGATGGTGGGGTTGGAGGTTGCTGCTGCTGTTGCTGCTGCTGGTGCTGGTGGTGTTGGTTCTGGGCGACAAGGAGAAGGAGAGCGTGCTGGTGCTGGTGCTGCTGCTGGTGCTGCACTGGGGTTGTCGTCCTCGGCGGAAAATGATCGGTGGTTGGCAGGGGTGGTTTCGATCGGGGCCCCGTTTCCGTTGTCCGCGGTCAAGAATACAACAACCCAAAGGAATCGAACGCCGGTGTTGGTGGTTGCGGGGAGGGATTCGGTGGCTGTGACGGATAGTGCGGTACGCAGGACGAAGGATTGGTTTGAGTTTGTCGAGGTTCATCGGTATGCTCGCCGCGGGGATGGGATGCCCAGAAATCGAGACGAGATGTTGCCCGTCATGCAGTTCTTAGCCAGGAGGTTGAGGAGCTGGAAGGGCGTGCCGGAGGGCAGTGTGGAGATCTCTTGAAGACAAAAAAATATGGATGGGATGTTGTACGATATTCATTTTTGTTGCTTCATAGTGGTACAGTACATACAGGGTGAAAAGTCTAGGGTGTATCTAGTCGACCTCCTCGAGAGCTTTGCGCGCTCGATCGATGGCCTGTCGAGTCTCAAGGGGAGACACCGGGACCTCCTCCTCCACGGGGCGTCCGCCTCGCTGCACAATGCCACGGAGTTGGTCCTCCGTCTCGAGCAGAGCCGTGCGACCGTCCTCGCGGGCCTCGTTCTCGAACCAGGTCCGCGCGCTTTCCCACTTGCGCTGCTGGCGGCGCAGCGAGTAGATCAGACCAACCGCTGCCATCGTGCAGGTCTCGTACACAGACGCGGCAGGCCAAGAGAGATAGGCCAGGATCGACAGCGCCGAAGATAGAGTGGTTGTGGACATGCTGAACAGCACGAGTCGCTGCGCCAACGCCTGCAGTGCCGGCGCCGTCGTTTCTACCAGCTTGGTCCGTCGTGTGGATATCTGAGTCGGCCACGATGGTTCTTCTGTTGGACTGGACCCCGGAGTGGTCTCCACCAGTCCGGCCTGCTGGAACCGACCAGCCGTCCAGATGACCTCCCTCTCAGCCTGACGCAGAAATTTGCGATCCAGGATCTCCCCGGTAATCATGCCCACGTCATCCACGCGCCAGAAGAGCTTCCACCACGCAAGACCCTTCCATGGCTTGCTGGCGAACCCTTCTTCCAGTGCGCCGCGGAGCTCCGTGTGCGCCTTTTCCGCCCACTCCGACACGGAACGATCCAACCCATCCCTCACCTCCACTGGCACCAAGCCCAGTTCTTGCTCCTGGATCCTCTGTGTCTCCTCCGCGACGACACCAGCCTCTGCCGCATCCAGTAGCGACGTGATCAGGCTGCGCAGCGAGGGATCCAGCGTACTGCCCGCCTCCGCCCGTAGCGCAGTCAGCCAATCAACCACGGGCTGCACACCACTGCTGTTCCACCCGCGTTCGTAGAGCGAGGCGTTCTGCACCGACTCACGGAACCTGGCCAACGCCTCGTCCGCCTTGTCGATGTCCACAAACGCGACCCGTCCATTGTTGTACTTCTCCGGGTTGGTCACCGGCAGCTCGATCGCGCCGTAGACCGACCCCGCCTCGTTCTTGAGATCCGAGCGGGCCATCAGCCCGCTGTAAGCCAAGAATCCATCGACGCCGCTGCCGCACACAATGCTCCGGTGCACCGGGTACCGCACCATATTGTGCCGGCCCGAATGCGAGGTCTGGATCGTCACCGTCGGCACCAGGAATGTATCGGCTGTGAACTTGGTATTCGCACGGGTATCCGCGCCCAGGCCGGTGATCAGGATCTCCAGGTTGCCTTTCTTCAGGATCGGCGAGGGGATCGAGATGGTCGGGAGAAGATCATTGGGTATGCTCTGCGAAACTGGGCCGTAACTGTTTTCATCGCAGGATGCGAAAGTTAGCCAATGTTTTTCCTTTCCTGTTGATGGTAGATTCTGTAGAGAGCAGACCCACCGGATCAAGAGTCCTCTCTCCAAACCTCCCGCCCCCGCACCCATTTCCTCCAACAAGTCCTCCCAGCTTTCCTTTCCGTTCAGGGGGTCTGCCAGCAGCAGTTTCACCAGTCTGCGCGCCGCACTGGCATCGTTCAAGCCCAGCACTAAGCAATGTTAGCAAGCCATCGCCATTGTCAATCAATTACCAGCAGGACAGAGGGGAAAGACACTGAATGAACATACCAGCAACACGAATCACAGGGGTCTCCGACTCCAGGCCCCTCATTGCCAACTGCAACCGACTAAGATTGACTTGCTCGGGCGCAACATCTTTGAGCTGGTCGAGCGTCGTGTGGAGACTTTTCAGCCGCGGGGGGATGTTGCGGCCACCGGCATGAACGACAGGAACGGTGTTATTGAGGGGTCGCGGAGCAGGTGTGGAGGGTATCGGATGAGTGTGAGGTCGGAAATCTAGGGGCTGTGATTGCTGTGATGAGTTGGAGGAAGCAACGCCGATGGTGCTGTTGGCACGACGCGCAAGAGTGAGGGCGGTTTTGGTGTTTCGGCGCCAGGTAGAGCAGGAGGGACAGTAAAAGACTGTGACGGAGTCTCGACCCGCGTGCGCAAGGCTCGCTGTGAGCGAGCCGCGTAGTTTGGGAGGCATTGATGTGAATTGAAGGTTGGCAATAAGGATGAAATGGAAGACAAAGGGAGGAAAGCGAGGCCGCCTGAGCAAGCAAGGTATCGGCGGATTGAAGTTGGTGGTTGGTCTTGGCGGGCCGGAAACCAGCCGGATAACTTCCACCACATGTAAGGTACCAAGCATGATTTCAGCGGTGTCTGTTCTCGTATTTCATTAATTTCATTATCTAGGCATTTACGGTCCGATTCCTACGCTGGCTATACGACAATGTTAAACAGCCGAAGGGCGGGGCTGGAAGATGAGAGCAGAATTCATGGTGTATCAGTTCATCAACTCATAGTTCAGACGTCACGGACGCCTGGAACCGCTTGTGCGCAGAAATTACATGATTTATCCCTCGTCCGCCAACTCCAGTCTTTGATACAGTGCTTGCCGCCAGTGCGATCAGCCATCTAATCCAAGGTGGTCGTCGCTGGGCAAGATCACTCGCCCGTGGGGTTCGAAGCTGTGAGTTTCGTTCAATACAAGGGTGAAGCAGTTGCACGCCTAAAATTTCAAGGAAGGATATCTGTCCATGTGCCACGTTCGCCAACCCGGCAATTCTCGATTAAAATGTTGTCTGACGCTCATGCCTCCCGGGAAACGGCAGCAGGGTCTCGTTGCCGACGAGTCTTGCCCGAGCCAGCCGACCTAGATAAATTAGAACCTGCCGTTTGACCTTCGGAAGGGAGCAAAACTTACATGCTGATTCTGCGAGCCACCGTGGCCAGACCGGCGTCGTTGTCGGCTTCATGCTGCGCCCGCTCGAGAGCAATGCGTCGGTCCTCTTCACTGCGTCGCATGACTTCCTCCTGAGAGGGAGGCAGGCGTTCGTTCTGCAAATCGACCTTGCGCGCATCTTCAAAGTTCGTGATGGCCTGCTTGATGCCCTCCGCACCCAACATCAAAGTACCCGCCGGCAGACGACCACCAGCCGCGGTCTTGAGCTCAGTGACCCGTTCAGATTCTTCACGCAGCACCTGGAACACACGCGACAGACGGCCGATGGCCAGAATCTTGTTCTTGATGGCACGGCGCTTGAATTCGCTGCTCTCCACATCCATCTGCGCCGCTGGAGGTGACGAGGGCGCTGTAGGTGATACAGATGTAGGGGTCTCTTCTTCAAGCTCCTCCTTGGAGCAGGTGTTGAGAATTGCAATGAGCATATCCGTGATCTTCTCACCGACGAAAGGAAGGGACCAGGTGAAGACGTCCATGAAGTTCGGCAACCAGTACGGGTGGGGGGTGCAGTTGAACTGACGGATGTTCATGACGTTGTTCTCGTACTTCAACACAGCGGCTTTGTTGTTGTAGACGTCCAGGTAGTTGGGAGCGCTGAAAATGGTCATGACACTGGGGAAGCCCGTTGTCCGGGTCTTGCGGTACATGCGATAGCCGGCATCTTGAGCTTCGTGCGCGCGAATGATGGAAAGAAGGTTGTTCTTTTCGAGGAAAGCGCAGGCCGCAGGATATGAGAAGAAGTACGAGCAGCCTCGCACACTGTTGTGAATGAAGTAGTCTCCAGTCTTCTCCTGTCCGAATTCTTCCAGAGGGTCGGCCCAGAGGATATCACACATCAGACCGTGAGTCGGAGGTTCTCTGAAACGGTCGATCTGAGCAGAGTGCATCAGCTAGCGCCTCACTACACAACCAGTAGAGATACGTACCCCCTTGATGTCCTCCAAAGTATGCAATTCAGGGCTCAAGCCACCGTGGATACACAAGAATTGCTTGTTCATGACCGCCGCCAGCGGCAGCGAGCAGAAAGATTCAATGCAGGCCTCGTAGATGCGCTCGCTGTACTTGTGCTTACACTCCAGCTTAAAGGTGAAGTAGTCCGTCAAATGTCTACATTCGTGATTACCCCGCAGTAACCACAGAGTGTTGGGGTACCAGATCTTCAAGGCCCACAGGTAGAGCACACACTGTTGCGGAGGGTCAGACCGAAGCGGCTGGCAACGGTGGCAGGACGAATACTTACCTCGATACTGAAGTAACCTCGGTCGACATAGTCACCGAGGAAGAGATAGCGGGTCTCGGATGGATCGCCGCCGACTTCGAAGAGCTTCATGAGATCGTAATATTGACCGTGGACATCACCGCACACGGTGATGGGCGCATCCATCTCCAGTAGGTTGGGCTCGGCTCTGAGCAGCTGCGTTCCAGCCTGTATGATCCATAACGCTTGGTCTTCCGTAAGACGACCTTCCCGGTAGAAGTGCTGTTTGAGAAACTGAAGGTTGGGCTTGGAGGGGTCTTCAGGAGACCAGAACTGATCGTCCGACGGGGTGTTCAACGCCGGCGCTTGCACCTCTGGATGGTTGCCATGCGATCAGCGGGATTCTTTGTACAGAAGAGGACTCGAAATATTGAGGCGGGGAATGTGGCAGACCTTTGATGACTCGCTCGAGGGTGGACACCTGAGAGCCATCTTCCATGACATGTAATGTGAAGTCGATCTCCGGGACCGGCTTCTTCTCCGTCACCGCACGCGCGATGTTGCGATCCATGGTTAATAAGGATTCGAGGCACAAAGGAGGTTGAGACTTGGATCAGAATGAATCGCAAACACGTTGTGCCCCGGAGGATGAAGGAAGAGGAGGGGAAAAGGGGAAGGGCGACAGGCGCGGAGGCCAGTTGTTGGTGGTTGTGGTGGTGGTGTTGGTGGGGGGTTAAGCGCGGGATGGGGGATTTCCCAGCCGAGACACCAGAGAAAGAGCAGAGCAAGAGGAAGAACTTGTGGCAAGATCGAGCTGCAGGGATGATCTCGGGGCGAAGAGAAATCAGAAAGGTGGAGAAGAGGAACCCGATAATAGGGTCGGGAAGGAGGAGTCGAAGAGGGGGAGAGTTAGTGGGCAGTGGGCAGTGGGCAGTGGGCACTAAAGTAGAAGATTTTTAAGGATTTAACGATCTTATATCAGATGGGGGGGGGGGAAGAAGTGGGAATTGAAGGCCTGGCCAATACAGACAGAGACACTGAGAGAATAATAGGAGAAAGAGGGTCACTTCAAGTCGAGGCTTGACTAGACAGAGAAACTGAGACAATAATACCACAGTGCCACACTCTTGAATAACTAACACACACTTTGTAGATAAGCAAGAGGGGCTATTATTGTAAGGGAAGGGAAGGAGGGAAGGCTGTCAGACGAGCTGAAACCGGGTTCTGCACTCTCGTGTGCTTCTCTTTTTAAGTTGATGGATGGAGATGATAACTAGATAGTAATCACATTAGCAACATTGGCATTAGTTACAGTAGGATAAATTGGATTGATTCCGCTGCAATTCGACGTCAGACCCAACAAACCGTATTGACAGGTAATAATCAGCCGCAGTCGGGGATTACCGCCTCGTGACGGTCCCTGTAATCTTCCCACTGCTCCATCAAGGCGGGGAACTCTCGGTCTCCAACTCCAATTACCCTGGACTGTAACTATACCTCCCTTCATGCATCCGATATAACTTACTCCTCTGGCATTCACTATAGAAGCAATCCTCACTGACTACACTGACCATACACACATACATACAAATTTCAGCAGTAACCAGAATGTACGAATCCTACCGTAAGTATCCCGTCCCCTCCTCCTCTCCTTCTCTCAGCATTCTGACCTCAAACCAGGCCCTCATCCCCTCCTAGCCCAAGTCCCCTTGACCGTCTCCCCGTTCATCAACCTCCCCACCACCGTCACCCTCCCCTACACCTACAAGTCGGTCCCATCCACCATCCCGCCCTCCGTCACCGTCGACCCCAGTAACCCGAACCTCAAACCCCGCTACGTAGTCTCCTCGAGCGGGGAGCACGCCGCCTCCCCAGAGGAGATCCTCGCGGCGTGCAACGCCCTGGAGCAGCACCTGAACAAAACCCGCCATGATGCCGAGAAAGCCATCCGCGACTGGGAGGAGTCCATCGTGCAGCGCGACCTGGCGGAGAAGCGACGCGTGGCGCCCGGATGGCTGGACCGGGAGGAGAAACTACTGCGGCCGATGAACGCGGCCGCCGGGTCGGGGTCACCGGAGGGGAAAGCAGCGCAATCGAGCTTGCTGGACAGTCTGTCCGCTGCGGATCCGGGGGCGGCGGCCTTGCCGTCGATGGTACCGCGCGATGAGGGAGAGGAGCTGGATCGGGCGTTTGGGGGGTTGAATGTGAAATGAGCGGGGGCACATCTGCTGGGGCCTGTTGGGCCATGAGGAGCTTATCATGCTCATGCGACGAGGACTCTATCTCCTAGAAGATACGCGCTTCTATTTGGCGCTGTCGGTGTGTCACGTGTCATAGGTGCTGCGCGCGCAAGACGGGCCATGCAGAGAAGGCCCCTTGCTGGACCGCGGCACGTCAGACGGCGAAGCCTCGCATCACCACGCCGTCGTGTCTGGAACTGGGGTTCCAGGTACACAGCATGCGGCGCAGTCTGCATGAGCTGAAACAGATTGAAAGAACGACTAGTATTGTTAAGATATGGGACAGTGCAGGATTGCCATGTCATAGAAGGCATTGAGCGGAGTAGATTCAGACAAACAATCCAAGCTACTATCAAGCTACGCATCCAATCCAGACCATCAAAATTGCAATCTTGTCGCACCTACTCCCAAGAGCATCCTATGCACTAACCAGTATCAAAAATAAAAGCCACACCGCTACTAAATCTCGTAAGAACGCATCCAAAAAGTCCAGCTGCAGCTGAGGAGACGACCGGCGTCCCGAATCGGAGCTCCTCAGCTCCCGCCCGCGGTCCGCAGCTTAGTGGTAAAGCTCCCCGCCGACCCAAACTCTCCATGGATCACAATTTCTCTTTCTCATTTCTTCCCCCCCCCCCCTCAAATCCTCCCCAACCTCACATCCCCAACTTTCCGAACAAACGCACACTCACTCTTCCTATCCCTCCCCCTTCAATTTAAAAATGGAACCCCTAACCACCGCCCCCGACACAACAACCTTCACCCCCCTCGCCGAGCACCAATCCCGCACCCCAAGCTCCTTCCACACGGGCCCAGCCATCCTCTACCACCACCGCACAGGCTGCC